GGCAGCCCCTGGCGTCTGAGCAGCTCAGGCGTGGAATGTAAATGTCCCTAAGGGTCCATGTACCCAAATAGTATAGACTTTGGCCCAATGTACCCATATAGGGAGTACTTTAAGGCCAATGTATATACTACTTACGTACATGGACCCTTAGGGTGTTGTAAATGTACGTTTCAGCCAAGCCTGGGCTGATTGACTACGCCCTTTTCCCTGAACTCCACATGCTGAAACCGAACCCTTGGACTTGGCTTGTTCCATTGGTCTGGGTAGAAGGCTCAGCGGTCCAAACCAACAAGAGTCGAAGAGGCGATCGGCTAGGTTTCCCGGAGACTCCAATATCCCTTCATTAAGGAATAGACCTTAAATTACAATCGGATCCCTAATATGATTTAAGGATACTGGAGCCCCCTAAACCCTAAACCCTATAGATCCCTTAACGGAACCCTTAAGGATCCTTTTAAAGGAGCCCTAGGAATATTCCTTCATTAAGGGATGTTGGAGCCTCTGGGCCAGTGATTGTCCGGAAGCTCATGGTCTGTCGTGAATTTCCAACCTGCACCCTTCGCCCATGCCCTATGTGTCCATGTGCCCAACTAGGGTTCCTCTAAGGGCACCATAAGGGTTCCTTTAAAGGCATCTATAAGGGATCCATTGTAGGGGGGACCCTAGGAATAATCATCTTTAAGGTTCTTGGTCTTGGCTTCTGTCCTCAGGATTGGCTTCTTGGGTTGGAGTTGTGGGGTGGGGTGTCCTTGAAGTTCGCTCGGGTGTGTCCTCGAGTTTGCTGGGGCGTGGTGTTGGCCCCGGGCAATTTAGGATTGATTCAGTAGAATCTCGGGGGTAGCTGGGAAATACCTTGGGGTAGCTCCGAAATACCTCGGGGTCATACCGTAGAACTTCAGGGTTTACGATCCTTAACTGCAAACCCTGAACCACATTCTATAAGGAACCCCTTGCCCAGTTTGGCTAATAATGCCACCTTAGAGAATATAGATGGGGTATATAATTGGTTATTCCTATAATTGTATTGATCATGGGGAAGTAGTAGTGATATATTGGGTGGAGTGTAGGGGGGGCCCTACTTGTAGGAATAATCATCTAATGGGTTGACGGTGGCATTATTACCCAAACTGGGCAAGGACTACTCTGACTGCTTTTGGGAACCAAGCCCTTTCCCTTAAGGCTCTAAGGACTCACATTTTGAGGCTTTTGGGCCAATCTAAGGTTTTTGGGCCTAAAGACCACATTATTCTAAGGCCTTTTGGGCCTAAAGACCATATTATTCTAAGGCTTTTGGGCCTAAAGACCATATTATCCAAGGCTCTTGGGCCATTTTGAGCCTTATATACCGTTTTGGAACCCAAACCTTGTGAGCATAAAGTCTTACATCCTGCGCCGTCCTTGCGTCTACTGCGCCATCCCAGGGCCCCGACGTAAAGAACCTTGTAGAAGTCGATGAGGCACAGGAAGCTTTTCGGTGTGACGTAGACATTCTTTCGCATGCCTGGAGGTGACCCCTAAAACCTAAACTGCATAAAGCCTAAAACTCTAAAACGAAATCATATAATGTAGGGGCCCTTATCCTCCTACTTTGGGGTTATACGCCCAGGGTTTCTTTATCAGATTCCTACATTCTAGTCTTTCTTTTTCGGGTTGGGGTGCGACTGGAGGGCTTTAGCTTGAGAGATGTCCGACACAGGGTTGGGGTTTTGGATTCAGGGTTTGGAGTTAGGATAAGGGATGGAGATTAAAGGTTTGCAGGGCTTGGGATTTGAGGTTAGGAATTGAAATTTAGGAAACCAGTGAATCAAAAGCCCAAGACACGCGAGTAGTAAACGTCGCACAGGTCTCGCGTCAGGGCCTGCGACGGGGACCAAGCACATATGGTCAGTGTTACGATCACACTGCCTCGCCAATGTTCGAATTACCTATGAATTGCTCTTGTTCTACGCTGAATCTGCGGCTCTACACTTTACAGTATGAGTGTCAAACCCCACTGCAGACTTGGCGTAGACTTTGGGCATTCGGCTTCGCGGCTTGGGGTCGCGAACTAGGACTCGGCGTGCGGCCGTCGATGTGACCCGGAAAACCGAGCTGGACCCCCCCAACCGGCTGGTCCAGCATTTAAAGGGAAGGGTGGCATACATAGCGACGGCTCAAAACAAGAAAAGAAACCATGGACCGTAAATCCCAAACCCTAACCCCAAAGCCCTAAACCCTAAAACCCTAAACCCTAAAACCCTAAACCCCTAAACCAGTCCGACTCCAAGACCCTCGAAGAAATGAAACAAACCTCACATAGCCTGGAAGGAGCCTGTGAGGGCAAAGAGCCGTCCTTGTCTCTTCTGAGTCTGCTATCGTTAGGGCTTTCAGGGTTTGGGGTTTAGGGCTTAGGGTTTAGGGTTTAGGGCTGGTAGTAGTTATGTAGGTTAGGTTTTGGAGAGTATATGATTATTAGGTACTTGGACCCCCTAAGGGTTCTGAGTCTGCTATCGTTAGGGCGTTTTAGGGTTTGGGGTGTAGGGCTTAGGGGGGTTTAGGGGCTAGGGCTTCTAGGGCTTATAACTATAATGGCTTGCAAGGAATACACAACGTGTTTGGGGCTTAATTCGGCGGCTTACAAAAGGCTTGAGGTTCAAGATTTCAGGGTTCAGGGGGTGGGGTGGGGTTTGGGATATAGGGTATACAGGTAGTCTACTGCAAGGTATCTGTCGGTTGCTTATATCAGTGTTACAAGAACTTTGTGGCCTGATGCTATCAACGTGCATTTGCTGCCGTTACCGCTGCTTGTCGTCGTAGTATTGCCTGGGGTTTGCGCTAAACTTTGGAACCAAAAAAAATTAATCAATAAATTTACACCCTAAACCCTAAGCCCTAAACCTGAAACCCCAGACGTTAAGACCCTAAACCCCAAACTGCGGCAGTTTGCTTGGGACTCGCCGGCATGGCCATAGTCGTAGCAGGAGCACCATGGCGGCAGGGATATGGGAGTTTCCGAAAATAGGGGACCCTAATATAGTACCTTAAATATAGCACCTGAAATTTGCCTTAAATAATAGGATCCCTTAAAAGGGCCCCAAAACAAGGTACCCCTAATTTTCTGAAACTCCCATATTGATGTTGACTGGACAGTGGAAGTCACGAGGATACACATGATTGTCTTGATAATCACGAGCATGCTGACGATGATGATGAGGAGGAGGAGGAGGACGAACATGAAGATGAATATGACGATGATGATGTGATGATGACGACGACGATGATGATCATCTTAAGGCGGCTCCCTAATTGCCCTGCAAAGCTGCCCTTTGGTGGCTGGACAAGACCCCAAACCCACGAAATCACACCCTGCGGTCCTTTGTCAGACTCGGAGCAGTCCAACCTGCTAAGGTCCAAAGCATGTTCGGCGGGCGGGGGAGAGGCGGACTGTACGGTTACAGTAGGGTTCTTGGTTTGCTAGAGTTCAATCAAAAGGTTTTCGGGTTTAAAGTTGAGTTGAGACAAAATCAGGAACCCTACGGAAAATGCTGAACATTCTTCCGGCCCCAATATCTGCCAAGATAAGCATCCACAGTAGACCCAATAAGACAAGTCAGACTGGAGTGTGAGCATGTAAGCGCGGTTTAGGGTTTTGGGTTTAGGGTTTTGGGTTTAGGGGCTATCAGAAGAATGAGCACAATATTGAGCAGGATGTCTCAAACAAAGCTAAGGCTACAACCCCTGAACCACATGAACCCTAAAATGCAAACCTAAACCCGAACACCACAGTAAAACCCCAATCCCAATGCCCCAGGTGCCCAAGCCCCAGATGCGAATCCCCACGCCAAAAGCCCTGAAACCTCTGCAGTCCGTTCAACACCCTTGTAGAAACCCAATAGCACCCCTGCATTAAGAAATCTCGAAACGACCCAAAACAACCCTAAACTGCAAACCCGACGACCATAGCTTTAACCCTCAAACACTCCAAAACCCTTAAACCCTAAACCCCAAACCCTTAGAACCCTACACGCCAAACCAGGGGGTTTGGTCCTGATCCTAGACCCTAAACTGGGGCTTTTAAGTAACCAGGGCGAAAAAAATATAGACTTTTATTTCATAAGGGCTCCTTTAAGAAAAGAAGTATTAAAGATTTCATAAGGGTTCCTTTAAGAAAAGAAGTATTAAAGTATGATACTTCAAAGCCCAGTAAACCTATCAAATCATCTCCGAGTCACTTGTAGGTGCTCAAGAAGGCACTGCTCACGGCGACCAAAGCAGCCTCTGGCCACGGCATGAACCTGGGCTGAGGGCTTGGAGTTGAGGGTTTAGGGTTTGGGGATGTTGGGGGTTTAGGGCTAACGATTTAGGCCGTTGGGGTTTGGGTTGCTGCAGATTGGAGTTGAAGGTTCGGGGATTTGAGGCTGCGGTTGGTTTGGGGTTAGAGTTGAGAGGGAGACCTTTTGGTTTAGATATGCGGCCTACTTGGAGGATCATGGGACTTAGTAAGTAAGGTTATAAGTACCTTATAAATTGGGGTTATAAGTAGTTATATAAGTAGAGTTACCCAAATTATAACCCTCGTTACTAAGTCCCATGATCCTTTAAGTAGGGGCTTTGGGTTCCGTGGCTGGGGGTTTGCGGCGCGGCTGAAAAAATAGTCCCATGCCGTGCTTACCTGCTTACACGGGGCTTTGGGTCCAGTGGTCTTAGTGGGTGAAGAGCTTGCGGTTGTGGGGTCGAAGAGTCGGCGGTCCTGTAGGTCAAGCTTAAAATTGAAGTGCCTCAAATCCCTACACCTAACCACTTGAGGTGTAAACTTAGGTGAATCAAACCCCTGGGCCCTAAACCGCTAAACCCTGTAGGCCTAAACCACATACTTGCAAGCCTCAGCCACTGGCCAGGCTTTGCAGGATTAGGTTTTTTTTTCAGGCTCCGCCCCAAGTTCTCGGAGTCCGAGCAGAGCAAAATCTGCCAACATTATACTAGCGAAGTACAGAACAGTAAGAGTGCAGCAGCCGACAAAAACAGACCTACAGTACTCAACAGAATAAACATGGCCATAAGCTATGGCCAACGACCCGCGGGTGGATTGGGTGTAAAGCCAAAGTCTTCAGCTTGTAAAGCAGAGAGTTTGGTTTGGTTTGGGCGTCGTCACGAGTCAGCGTTCGCAGCTTCGGTTTCTGCGTCGGTGTTCAACCACACTCTCCGACCAGCTACTGACTCGAATGCCCCCACAACTCCCCCAAATCCTCGGAGCTTCTTAAAGTCTTAAACCAAACCCACCGACAAATCACAAAAGCCGAAGAAGACACCTTACGATAACTACTCATGAACCTCCAAGCCCTAAACCCTAAACACTGTAAAACAATAAACACGGTAAAACAAAAAACGACCGAGCGGCCAGTTGATGTTCACGGTGAAGACCGCAGGGAACTTTTGAGCTCGGATCGGGAACTTCGCGTTCACCTCACCGGATGCACTGCCCAGAACTTCCAAAATCCCTTAATTAAGGAATATACCTTAAATCATATTAGGGATCCTACTATTATAATTTAGGGTATTTAATTGAGGGATTTTGGAAGGTCTGGGTGGAGAAAGGAAGACTCTGAGACTTACGTAGGGGTCCTGATATTTGGAATAGGGTTTTGGGGTATATGATCCTACACTTATGATAAGGAACTGAAAGGATGACTATAAGACTAACGTAGGGGTCCTAATAATTAAAACAGGGTTTTGGGGTACATGATACTATGCTTATAAGGCCCCCCCCCCCCCCCCCAACAAAAAAGATCGCATAGGTAATCGTTGAGGCGCCTAGATCAATTACTCATACCATCAAGTTCATCGCCCTTGTCAGACCTGCAACCAGAAGTGCTCATAATGATAGCCTATCGCTTGGACGACCAGCGCCACAGCCAGCACCAATCATGGCCATACCTCCCCGAAACACGAGAATACGACACTGACACGTTAAACCCTATAGATTCAGACACCCAACAAAACCTGAACAAAAAAAACAACGAAACCTGACAGACACCCACAGGAACCTGACAACAGTTTTGGCTGACGTCCACATCACAAGTCGGGGCCGTTGCTCTTCAACAGCATCGCTGTATCATGTTCCGCTTTCGGTCAAATTGAAACACGCCCCCTGCAGAGCACACATCAAATGCTATCATCATCAATCGGAAAAAGTCCGAAAATCCAGCCAAAGACTCAACAAAACCCACAGTTTTCCCACGCAGCCCGAAAGAATCCCACATTTGTTCCCAGTTTCCGGCCGCGGTCAGTTCACCCCAGTTTTCCAGAAGGTACGCCCAGGCATGTCTCACCATAGGAAACTAACAGCAGACAAACACCCGTGAAAACCGGACGGAAATGCAGCAACAGATTGAACATAAATGTGTCAGGGTTTTTGCGGTTTCTGATCATCAGTTTTTTCAAGCGAAAAGCCGCCTCTTTGAAAGGCACAAAGCGCAAATCTAAGATCTTATGATCCTGGATCCCAAGACCTTCTAGAACCTTTATTGCAACCCTTATGGATCCCTTAAAGGACCCATTAAAAAGCCCTTAAGCCCTCAACTCTAGATCCTCGAGCCGCCAAGCCCCGAGGCCCAAGTCGATCTTGCCCCGGGCCTCGAAACCCTAAACCCCTAAACCCCTAAACCCTAAACCGAAAACCCTTAAACCCCAAAACCCCAGAATCCCAAACCCCTAAACCCTAAACCGAAAACCCTTAAACCCCAAAACCCCAGAATCCCAAACCCCTAAACCCCTAAACCCCTAAACCCTAAACCGAAAACCCTTAAATCCCAAAACCCTAGACCCCTAAACCCCTAAACCCTAAACCGAAAACCCTTAAATCCCAAAACCCTAGACCCCTAAACCCTAAACCCCTAAACCCTAAACCTTAAACCCTCTCCGAAACACTGCAGCGCAAATCCCCTCAAGCCGAGTTTTCCTGAAGCCCCCAGGGCCCCATCTTACCTTTGCTTAGTAGGGAAGGAAAGGGGGCTTATAAAGGGGTCTATAAGGGTTACTATAAGGGATCTGTAAGGGTACTATAATATGGGGGCCTTAATAATCCTACAGCTTACCTTTGGCTAGTAGGGAATGGAAGAATGGTAGTAATAGTAGCTATAATTGTACCCCATTCCTCCATTCCCTACTAACCTAAGGTAAGAAGTGAGAAAGCCTGGACATGTAAACCTTCAACCCTATGGAGGTTCATGGTCAGTTATAAGCGGGGCTATAAGTCCCCTAATATCGGTTACAACCATAGGTACCCTACTTATAACCCTACTTATAACTACCCATGAACCTGCAAGTATGGAATATACCTTGCCCCATCGTCAACCTGACTGAAGCCGAAACAGCACGAAGGTGGTCACAGTCTGCTCCTTGTCCATGCGTCAACTCTGTAGCATCTACTATCGGGGCCTAAAGAATGAACGAATTAGAATGGGACTTTGGCACGTCCAAAAGCCTCTGAACAAACGAGCATGACATTATGATGGGAGGCCAAAAGGGGGGGGGTTAAGGTTCTTCGGGTAGGGTTTCCCTATTATGGGAACCCTCGTCCCTACTAAACCCCCAGAGGCTAAAACCCCGTTTGGCCTCCTATGACATTACAGGGCCCGCGCCGGCGAGAAGCAGAGGCAGACGTGGAGGTTGTCTCGCAAACGGTCCATGAGATAGTTGTACATGTTGAGCAAATTCTCCTTCAGAGCATCGGGAGCCTGAGGTTTGGGGTTTAGGGGTTTAGGGTTTGTAGGGGTTTAGGGGTTTAGGGTTTAGGGGTTTAGGGTTTAGGGGTTAGGGGTCTACGAAATTGAACCACCAGACCCTCACACCCTTCCCAGAGCTTCCAAAATCCCTCAATTAAGGAATATACCTTAAATTATAGTAGGATCCCTAATATGATTCAAGGTATATTCCTTAAGTAAGGGATTTTGGAAGCTCTGGGTCTATAGAAGGCCATTGTTTTACCTACTTTGGTCTGGAATGTCTGGGGTTGAAATGGCCGTGAAAAGAACCAAAAATTCTCACTCCAGAGACTGCGGCCGCTATGCTTGTTGACTTGTTGTTGCTGTTCATAGATTGACGGCTGGTTCGATCTCGAAAACAGCTTATGTTGTGTCTACGAACATTCTGTAAACCCCAAACGGTTGGTATTGGCACAGGTAATGCCTGGGAACTTAGTAGGCACACTCTCAGGTTGAGGGTTTCTAGCAAAGGGCACTCCTTTTCATTTCTGTAACCACAAGAACCATCTACGTACCAAGCCGGATCGATCCTTGTCGAATGCAGAATCCTTCCAACATCCTTTAATCATCGAAACGAGTTCCGGTGATTAACCCTAAACCCTAAAACATCTTTTGCGATGAAGGCTCAGGCTTATGGAGGAAATGGTTACGGGTTGTGTGTAGGGGTGCACATGAATAAGACCCTAAAGCCCAAACCGTAAGTCGTAAAGCCTATAAGCCCTACACGGCTTTCGGAATCCTTTGAATCCCCCGTCCTCCATGTTCGGGTTCTCCTTCACGAAGTCGTTCCGCACATCGCCGCACATGGCATCCTCCAGAACTTTGCGGGCTCGTGATCTCTGACATACTAGGACCACTAGGAAAAATCTTACATACAGCAAGTATACGGGCTTTCACGTTCACCCCCCTCTCCCGTCGGCGCTTTCAATATCACGTCAAAGTACCATAGTGTACCTCAAACACCCTCCCAAACACCTGGTCTATTGCGGGTTCTTCTTTTCTTGAACAACTTCTCCTGGATTACAGGAGAAAGGGAAGCATCAAAGCTTAATATTGGTCAAACCCCATACATCCCAGCCCAGAGCTTGATAGCCACCGCAAAAAAAACCCTCATCAAATCCCAAACGAACGCTGATAATCCCCTTTTTCATCCCCCCATGAAGCCCCCATCAAAACCATGCTCGCTCTGCCAGCCTTCTCATCCTTGGCGAAGAGGCCGACAACCTCACCTTCGTCGAGATGGTCCCGGTAGTATAAGAGCAAAATCATTAGAATGAGGCTTTGGGGTATGGAATAAGACCCCAAGGGGTGATGTTGGAAACTCGCCAGGCTCGTAGTAACAACTTCCATGTTCGGTTCTTCTTGATCTAATCAGCACCAGACAGAATGGGACAGGCTCTGGGTTCTTTAGAGAAGCCTTAATACTTAGAATAGGGTTTCTTTTAAAGGGCTCCTTTAAGGGATACCATAAGGGTAGTAAACGGGTTTAGAGTTTGCTATAGGTTCTTTAGAGAAGCTAGGGCTTGTAGGGTTTTTCAGGCTCTAGGCTTGAAGCTCGAGTTTCGGGCTGTGGGTCCTAAAGGAGCACATCGCTCCAACCACAGGATACCAGAAGGGAACTCTGAACCGTGTGGTTTCACCCTACACCCTAAACCCTGAACCCTAAACCCTAAACCCTGAACATGCCCCCTGACTTAACCATGGGGGGGGGAGGAAAATGCAGACTACATTTTCCACACCCCTCGGGCCATGTGATCTGTAAATGTAGGATTTTGCCTTGGCCATGTGATCCCTAAATGCAGGATTTGGTCCTGCCAGGTTCGTCGTGCTAACGCAGAACTCAGTTCGCAATCAGCCTTGCCTTATTTTTGCTCGGTCAAGCCATGTCGAACCAGAAACGCCAGTGCAATGACGAGACCCCAGTGCACTGCAACCGCATCACCAGATGAGGCTTCGAGTTTTAAGGCCTATAGACTGGGCTAAGCTTCATCTGTTAGACCTGCGAGGGCTGCGACTATCCCCATGCGGACTTTGGCAGGCAGGATCAGGTCAAAGGAAGCCACGGGATTGCTAGCTCATCAACCTTCTGTACAAATGCGGAGACTTGCGTCAGGCCACTGTCTTTCGACGGTAGCAGGCGCCGGAGGTCGGTCAAGATGGCACGGCTGTACTGTGCGCTTGCCTGCCCCGCAAGGATGACGTCGTAGCACGCAGGAGCTCTGGCCACCACTTCGCTCCATTTGATCTGCTTATTCTGCTTCGTGGATTTCGTGGACAGACAGAAGCAGCCGCTCGCATCCAGCAGCGGCAAAGCAGCCTTCTGGTACAGAGCCGGCAGATTCTGGAGGAAGATCGGGATGTGTTTCGCAGCGCTCGTGTGCGTGAAATGCTTGAGTGTGAGACCTTCGAGCTTCGATACTGTAGAGGGTGGTTCCTGACAGGGGATAGGAAAATTACGAGACCTTACCCACAAACTAGAAAACAACCAACATTTCGGTAGACCCACCCCATCAACCCCAAACTCCTAGATGTGGGTTCACTGCGAGCCTTCGCGATCGTCTGCATTGCTGCTGTGTCTTCCCATGCACGCTTCTCCACGAAAGTGTTCTTCGCAGCCAATGCATCGTCAGAAAATCTAACGGTCACACGACTCGAACCGTGATCTACGTTCATGGGCTTGATCTGCGCAACGATGCATTGCGGCTCGATGACGGAGATGGGATTCAGCAAACTGCCCACCCAGGCATGCTTGGTGGCCTTAGCGACACGTGCCAGAATCTACGCCCAGACCTGTTTCGCAACTAACAGATCTAGACAGGACCCCAATACAGAAACGATTGCCACCGGACTCCGGCATGCCTGCACCAGCTCCAACACTCGGACGGCTTTGCACAAGCCAACCGGCATGGGACAGGCTGCATGGCGGCAGACTTTCAACCTCCTCGTGGCATGCTTGCCTGTGAGGACAGCGCCTCTGAAGGTGGTGAGGGTCAAGGCGATGCCAACACTCTGGTCGGGCTTGACGAACAGCACAATCTGATCGAGACCAAAGCTGCCGAAAGCTGTCACGCGGTGCACAGTTCCACTTTGCGTGGTGTCCCCAGACTTGCAGTGGATGACCTCTTGCGTCTGTGTCCATGTCTGACTCCGGCTTTGCCGTTGGCCTGACAGAGCAGCAGCTTGTCTAGCAAGACAAAGTTCGTGTTGCAAGATGTTCCACTGGGTCGGCGAGTGCTCGCAATTCCTGGTGATCTGTGCCTTGGACAACAAGGCTCCTTGTAGGAGCACTTCCTGGCAGAAGTCCTGCAGGGGCTCCCGCATGGCCTCCATCCGCGCCGTGACCAAGGTCAGGGCTGTCTCGCTTGTCGGAGGCTTCTGGAAAGGTGGCAGGTCCCTCAATCTCATCATGACATTGGCAATGTTGAGCTTGGCGTCTGCTGGCCAGGTCTGCTGCGAAAACGCATCCACGGGGACCTTGTTGGCACAACTGGTCGCTGCATCGCCAGGCCCTGTCTGCATGGAAACGGGTGCGGCTGGAGGTTCGGCGGCAGTAGTCGGAACCAGTGCCAGTGCTGCATCATGCTCTGGCCTTTCCGGGTCCAGCTGTCCGGCCAAACTCAGGAGTTCCTGTTTGACCTGAGCAGGGGGGTGCACTGCAGAAGCACACCAGGACCGCATGTCATGGACCGGCCTTCAAGTGGTCCAGGCGTTGACGGCATCCGCTGCTTGCTCATCTCTGGGGTCGTCCGCTTCCTCCTCGTCGTCGTTCAAAATGACCTCCTCGTAGATGTCATCGGACTCCAACTCATTTTCTTCATCCTGCCAATCCGTCTGCTCTGCTGCGCTGCTGTGGCATGTGATCCATGCCTTGCCCTCTGACTGCCACCAGTGCATGAAGTCCTGGCCGGACTACTCGTACTAGTAGTAGCTAGCTGGCCAGCTAGGTAGGTAGGTAGGCAGGCAGGTAGGAGGTAGGTCCAGAAAATGCAGATTCTGCTGGGGCACATGCGCACCCTCGCATACCCGCCTGGTCCCGGTATCCCACGGGCGCCACGACCCCCCACGCTCCCTGCGTTTATGCTACTACCTCGCAGCACACCCGGCTGATGCTCATGATGCTCGTGTCTGGCGGGTGCAGGTTGCTTACGCCCATCGATTTGCCGGGCCTTCTGATGGAAAAAAACCCTTACGACTGCCGACCCTACCTGTCCCGAAACCCAGACACACGTACTTCATGTCGCACTGTGTCCCTTGTAAAATGCAGCGTCTGCGGCTATCAGGGACACACAGGCTGGAACCCATTCCCCCCCCCCGAGCCTGCGCACCCTCGCATACCCGCCTGGTCCCGGTATGCCAACCCCCTAACCCATTTTACTACTAGACCAGGGGAACAACCCTGCCGGTTTGCAACAGCTACTCTTATCAAACCGGCTGAACCCTTTCAACAACGTGCGCCTGGCTGATGTTCTCTGCACGTCGGCTTTTCGATATCGAGGCTTGAAACATGCACGCGTCACGGAAGCACTGGCTGCTCAACTCGCCGGCCAGGCGGGTGTCGACAGGAGTCGCCGGCGACACGGCGGAAAACTGGAAATTTCTGGCCTCACGGCAAGCCCGCATGTGCTCCAGTTGCCCTGAGTAGATAGCATTTAGCAGCGACGGTGTTCCGCGCCATGATTTTTTCAATCGCGAGAAGTGTGCTTCGGCCACGTGCTCCTGACGACACCTTAGACGCCATGGCCCGTCGGCGGCCGTGAACATAGCTGCCAGGACTGAGTGCGCCATGAGGTGGCAAGCATTCCTGATGGTCTGCAAAGGAAGACAGCGGCCCTGCCAGTCCTTGCCGCCCAAACGTTTCGATTCTGACACATGTAGCAAGAGCAGATAGTAGGCCGTGAGGCCGTTGGTGACCGTGACCTTGGGTTCAGGGTGCTCAGGGGGGCACAGGTCCTAGCACCATGGCACATATTTTGTCTAAGTCTGGGGCCTTGTGCTCGCTTGGGTAGGGCGCCAGCAGCTGCATCTCCAAGTCCTTGCAGTAAGCATCCTCGTCCTCGTCTGCTGGGCCCAGCTCATGCTTCAGCGTCTTGAGCCCTGAGACGGGGCTAGGATGTAGGAGTTCTCTTACCTTCGCCATGGTACATGGTGCAGCCCACGACAACTCCCGCAGAACTGTGCCCAGCAAGCCTGCATGGGGCACGATCCAGATTGGCCTCTAAGAATGCGAGAGTGAGAGGAGGGCCCATGGACTCTGGTGACAAGTCGCCGAAGTCCAACAAGTACTCGTGCCAGTCAACACAGCCCCGCAGAAAGTCCATCAGTCTTTCCGGAACGAGTGCTGCCTCCTGCGCTCCATCCAGAGTCCCGAAAATCGCAGGGTTTTGGCCTGTCAAGCAGAGCTTGATGAAGGCTGCTGCGTCTGCGCAGGCTGGCTCCCGAAACTGCCAACTGAATTCTGGCCGGGATATTTGAAGCAATTCCGCGTACATGAAGCCAGGCAGCTCAGTCCTGGGTGCTCGGACAATCAGATCAGACCGGCTAGAATCACATGACGAACCGGATACATGACTGCACCAACGAGCTTCAATTTCATCCCGCGGATCTCCGGGATCGTTCCGGATTTGACCATCTCTGCTGCCAGCGCCTTCTGAAAGATTTGGCACGGTCGAAGTACGGAGTCCGGCATCTCCTGCGCAGATGAAAAGGAAGACGGGCAACTGCAGGAAGCCAGGGGACATGCCGGGTTCAGTACCTCTGCAGCCAGCAGCCAGCGCTTGCATCCTTTCCCCCTCACACCCCCACCCCATCCTTCTCCGCCTAGCAGGAAAGACTGCCCCCGGAGCCAAAGCCCCTGTGAACCACCCCACGTCCGACCTCCAGCTCGTCGATCCCCATCGAGCCAGAAGACTCCTGTCGACACTCGGCAATCACAGAGACGGAAGAAACACGTATTGCCCCATGCACATGTCCTTTCGTTTTCGCTCCTCGGTCGCCTTCGCCTAGCAGGAAAGACTGTGCCCCCAGAATCAAACCCCGTGTGAACCACCACACGTCCGACCTCCAGCTCGCCGATCCCCATCGAGCCAGAAGACTCCTGTCCCATGCCCATGTCCTGCTCCTCGGTCGCCTTAGCCTGGCAACTAAGACAGCTACAATCCCAAAGCCCATGAACCACCACATATCCGACCTCCAGCTCGTCGATCCACATCGAGCCAGAAGCCTCCTTGCCGCTATCGGCAATCAGAGACTTGGAAAAATGCTTGCCATTTTGAGCCCCCGTCTTTTGGTTGTTGATCCTGGGTCACCCCGACCTCAGCCGGAAGGAAAAATAAGCTCATCCGACAACGTGATGTCCCGGCCTTCCCCAAACATTGCGACTCACAGGAGGATTCCTCGCAGGCCGGCGGAGCCTGCAAAGAAGGACAACACTCAGAAGAATTAAAATTATCATGCCGGCCCGCTCGTGTCCCCTCCGCGTCTAATCCATGCGATCGTACATGACCAATGGCCGCCCCGTAGGATCTTAACGTCTCGCCCCAGGCGGCTTCCACAGGTCTCAGCATATCTACACGCCAAGGGGGGGGCGCACCTCAGGTGCCGTGAGAGGAAGCACAGCAGCAGGCTCCTGGCAGGGGAACAGTTCGAAGGATCACTCAGTTCAGGAAATTACAAACCATCTTGTCTGAGGCAGGTCTGAGCCATCACAGGGAACCCACAAGAGCAGGTCATGAGGCAGGCCTCCTCGGCTCTGCCCATGTCGCCAAGAGCTTTCGCGCGAATTTTCAGATTACGTGGCACCTGTGGCCAGGCCGTCCCCGCACGCTAGCCATATCTATCCATGAAACCCTTTCAAGACCTCGCGAATACCCGCCTTCTTCGCAAACGCATCAGCCTCCAGGTCGTTTCGACTAATGCGTATTACATTACAAAATCTGTTTCAGTCTGCGACGGGCCTGAGGCAGAGATGGGAACCGCTGTGCTTTCGATCCCGAAGGGTGCCAGACGTATGTATCTGGCGAATGTTTCCGATGCAGCCAAAGATTTCTAGGGAAACCAAAGAATAACACCGGCCAGCGATGCAATCATTCCTGCCGGCGGCGTATGTGCGGAAGAGACAGGACCACGTCATGACAAATCGAGAAAAGACTTCCCTCTAACATGAGATGTGCGCGGCTAGGTGCTGCTACGGCTACGGCTGCTACGAGTGTGGTGTGTGTGCAAATTATGTGCCATTCAGCTGTGCTGTCACGCTTTGTCTGGCATCGACACCGAGCGCATACATGTTGGGCCACTTGCCCCTGGAGCAACAGCGAGTGTGGCAGCCAGGAGCGATCACATCCACTGCTGAATGGCACTCTCTCCCTCTCTCTCTCTCTCGCTCTCTGTTTCTTTCTCTCTCTCTCTCTCTCTCTCTTCTCTCTCTCTCTCTCTCTCTCTCTCTCTCTCTCTCTCTCTCTCTCTCTCTCTCCTTCTCTCTCACTCTCTCTGCTGTACCCTTTGCCTCTTGCATGCGTCTGCCCAAATTACAACCGAACCCCCACCCGCCGGACCCTGCATGGCTTATCATGGCTTTCTGCTCCAATACCCTAAACCCCTTGACCCCCCCTGCCCAACCCCCGGACCTGATAATGTAGAAAACACCTTCCTGCATTTATGTACCCCCCCCCCCCCATCCTGCATTTATGAAGACAGGGGGGATCCCTGAACCCTGAACCCTAAACCCTAAACCCTGAACCTTACTGTAAACCCTAAACCCTGAACCCTACTGTAAACCCTAAACCCTAAACCCTTCCCAGTGGTGCCTGTTGCCAGCAGCGAGTTCCTCGAAGGACGCGAGGCGCAAGGTTTTGGGAGCTTACTATAGGGGCCTTATGGTTTCTTTAAGGGGTTCCGATCTATAAGGGTTCTATAATCTAGGGGCCTTAATTTAACTTAAAGGGTTCCTCATCAGGGTACTATAAGGGTTTACTATAGGGGCCTTAATTTAAAAAAATGAGGGTTCCTTTAAAAGGTTCCTTTTTAGAAGGGATTATAAGGACTACTATAAGTATAAGGGCTATTATAGGGTAGTGGCCTTAGTAATTAGAAAAGGGTTTTGGAGCGCATTATGCTATAACTATAATAAGGAACCACGCACAGACGATCCCATTCTCGAACCCGACCAACTATGCAAACTTCGGTGTGACCGTGGCCTGTGCGGTTGGATTCCCAGCACATAGCAAACCCTTTAATTTCAGGAATCTGCAGTGGACGACATCTGATTCGTGTCTTGTACCGTTGAGAAACAGTGCAGCTCCTTCTTCCCTTATGGCTGTTACGTTTTTAGCATGGCATGCAGCTCTTGTATTCTCTGTGTGTCAGTAGTATAGGTTTGGATAAAAGCTGCACAAGTATGAGATTCAAAGTCAATGCTCACCATTGCTGAGCATGACATGGTTCTTCCACCTCAAAGGTTCGGTCCAACAGATTCTAAAGTCCAAACCTTTACACGGCATAGACCCGTCATTCGGAAATCATGAATCATCTTTAGCATACAGACATTGATCCTATACTGAACTTAAGACCCCTAGCAAACATTATAATGTGAGCTGTTTCTTAGGGATTATAATACCCAGCTTTAAAAAACAATAATCCTTCAAGCCCTAGAGCCGCAGACCCGGAAACCCCAAAACCACAAACCAGTGAACCGGAAACACTTACGTAAGAGCACTCCCGAAACCCACCAACTCCGACGCCAGGAGGCATGTACTCCAGGAATCCCTGGCAGGTGACGTCTCATGATGCGAGTGCAAGCAGGCAAAGGTAACACTCCAAGATGCACAATACAATCTGCAATGATGACTGTAGCAAGGGCATGTCGGCAACTATGACGACAACAGTACAACGAGTAGCCGCAACAAAAACAACAACAAGAAGGACGGCACCAATACCATATCAGCAGACTTGCTAACAGCAGACCGGGCAGCACGTGAGAGCAGGCTTGGTACTGCCAGGATCCGAACCATCCGAGTCCCCAGAGTTCCTGACTAAAATTAAGCTAGAAGGATTCTAAATACTCTTCCACCCAAAACTCCATTCCAAAACGGAACTCAACACCCCGTAGTGCCCCTCATGAGAAATTGTTAGCCGCTAGCTGACGGTTCCGATCAGCCTCGCTCTTGATCTCAGCATCTGTGAAGATGAAAGTCACGCTCTCTCCTAAAAAGGGTTCAAGGAAGTCCAGGGTTTAGGGTGAAGATTTAGGATTAAAATGCGAGGAAAAGGGTTTAGGGTTTCAGGTTCGGATTCCTAGCAGGGCTTGCTTTCAGAAAGAGAAAGGAGGGTTCCCTACAGTACCTTATGTGGCGAGTTGCTCGATAATTAGGGGCTTCCAGCTGCGCAACAGCAAAATTACTGTCGTATCTAGATCCCCGTACAGCCGGGGCTCGGGTTACTGGGGTCTCAAGAACACAGGCTTGGCTTTCAGCGTCAGCCCTGGTGTAGGCCCAGTTTCCGGAACTCCAAGCTCAATCCCAGGCTTTGAGAATCGGGAAGCCCTGGACAGGGACCCGGGGGACTTACCTTTGCTTAGTAGGGAAGGAAAAGGGCCTTATAAAGGGGTCTATATAAGGGTTACTATAAGGGATCTATAAGGGTACTATAATATGGGGGCCGTAATAATCCTATAGCTTACCTTTGGTTAGTAGGGAATGGAAGAATGGTATGGAAGAATGGTAGCAATAGTAGTTGTAATTGTACCCCATTCCTCCATTCCCTACCAACCAAAGGTACGAGAAACAGAAAACTAAACAACACCCTGAAAGATAAGCAGCTGTGGGCTGTGGAACCAGCTCCCGACCAAGATCCAGAATGGCACTGTGCCGAATTGAGGCCACCGTAACAGCACATCACGACTACAGAAGCGACTCGCAACTAGCAGAACCAGCATGGGCGTTTTTGCTAGTTTCTCCAGCTCTCGCAGGTACAGGTAGACATATCTAACCCTATAAATCCTAAGCCCCTAAACTGCAACCGGAGGTCCCTTCACACCGGCGCGGATGCACAGAGCTTTCAAGTCTTCGAAGAGCGCGTTGTCGTTGTAAGTCTTCGTGATGGTGATCCTTTGCAGAGAGGGTTTAAGGTCACTTAGGGGTTTAGGAGTTAGGGTTGAGAGTTTAGGGGTTTCGCAAGCGGCGAGGCCCTGCCCTGAACCCCTAGCTCGACTCTTGGTTAAAACTTGCTGCTGTCAATTAACATCCTCATCCTCGCCTTCATTCCCAACTTTTCCCACTACTCGAAGCCTCATCCTTGTTGCGCTCTTCCTGCTTGAGGTGGCGCGGTTCGTTGTTTCTTTGTTGCTGGCCCGGTGAATTTCAATCTCTGCCGGAGTTCAGCGGTAGTGGTTCAAGTTGCTTTGTGCTCGGGACTCTGGGGTACAGAGCCTTAGGGCTGCAGGAGTCTCAGGCTAGAGGTGCTTCTCGATTCCTGCTGAAGGTTTCGAGCCGAGTTCCGGGATCCTAAACCCTAAAATACTTAAAATCTAAAATTCCCCAAACCTACAGACTGAACCCCCAAACCCCTAAAGACCAAACCCGAAACCCAACGGGTTTAGGTACTTGCAGTATCCAAGAAGGCCAGCCGGGGCACTGGAATGCATAGTGTGCTGATGTGAAGGCAGCCAGCCTGCGACTTGCATACACCGTTAGGGCCTTTCGGATTTCAATAGTGCATAGTTTGGGGATTACGGTTCACAGGTTATAGGTCTCTTGTGGTATTTCTGAATCTTGAGGGAAGCTGATGGTTCAACCTTCCGAGTCTTTGTCCCAAAACAGCGCAGAGCCCATTCTCATCACTGCGTTAAACGCTCGCATGACACCCGATGCGCACGGTTTTCAAGAAAGCTCCTAGACACTCAAAGCTTTGAAGCCCAAGTGACCGTAGGTTTTGCGTTGAAGCACCAAAGGCCCAGACCAGTTGACATCTGGTGAACCCAACCCCTGATCGCAAAACCCTTACTCAGGCATAGTCGGGATACAGCTTGAAGAATATCATAGAATATCCCTTTAACCTAAACCCTCACCCCTAAACCCCTTCTAAAGCCCTAACCCCTTGACACCCCCAAACCCCCAAGCCCTAAAAGCTAAACCCCTAAACCCTAAATCCCTAAACCTCTGAACCCAAAAACCATGGACCCTACACCCGAAAAACACAAAATACTTCTTAACCGCCTCGCCAAGCTCTGCTTTCCACTGCCACCGACACCCACCAGCATTGCGCTGCCCCGCTTCTGCTGAATGGTACCTCAGTCAAACTTCTTTCTGGTTTAAGGTGTGTTTGGAGCTTGGGTTTAGGAGTTTAAGCTCGAAGCGGGAAAATTTGTGGAAAAGATATCCAAGTTGTGTTTTACTCTTGTAACTGGCTTTTTTCTCGATAATACGGACGTCCGCGAGACTTGAAGCAGAAGGACAACAAACATCTGGGGAATGGTGACGAGTGGGACAACGCGATCGGAACTCAAAACGCCTATCTGAGTCTAGAGTCTAGCGCTGGTTCCCGATCGAAGGTTTCCAATGGGCCGGCTTCGACGGTTCAGGAGTACAGGCAGGGGCTACGCGGCTGAGACAAAAGGCAGACTAAACTGAGGTGCTGTACTTGTAGAACGTGCAGAAACTGCACGTAAAATATTGTAGGGCTTTGTGGTTTCGGGTTTAGGTTTATAGTAAAATGTTCAATTCAGAGCCACTCACACCAGCCAGGCCAAACCCAATGAATCGAAGCTCCTGGAAGGATCGACTGAAACCTGAAGCGCAAAACCCAAACCTTGAACCCTAAACCAATGAACCGGTGCCCGAGGAATGGTTGAGCTGGGTCCGAACATGGGTTTTCCTCAAAACAGCCTTCCTTGTTTTACCATGCAAAGCACCCCTGTGTTCCATTTCTCTACGAATCAGCAAGAATCAAGTGGCTCTTGGAAAACAAAGATTCAGCTTCAGGAGCGGTTGATCTTCATCAAGTGCTGCATGGCCTCGTCGAAGAGGACGAGTTGCATCGCCTTCGCAGAGCAGGACATCACTCTCAAAGGGCTTTTGTGGTATCAGGTCTGAGTTTCACAAGCTTGTATAGGCTTCTCGTGTTTGGAAAAACTTTATGTGATTGCTAGTGATCAGTTAATCAAAAAACTCTCCACTGACTGAATTCAATTTTCATTTCAGCAAGGCTCATGTTCAGGATCCCTGCTTGAACTTCAGGAATGGATATATAGACAATCCTTCGGTTGCGCAGTTGTTGGAAGCCCTGGCAGGCTCACCTCGTGCATTCCTAAAGCTTAGCGCATAGGCTTGCTCCGGAGTGCACGCTTGCCACAAGATAGCAACGAGTATGTGGGCATAACCTCGCTGCTAAGGTTACTCCCGGAACCCGAGGAAACAGCTCACCGAATGGGAGAAACCTGGTGTGCAAATCCCCGACAGTTAATGAAGCCTCACGGCATTTCCTCGATCCGACGAACCAACCAGGAAGCAACATTTCGGTCCATTTACAAGACTCCAAGCACTGAAAATACTACCATAGGGGCCTCAATAAATAGAATGGGGTTTCGAGGTCTAGTAGGTGTAGGAGTGGGGGTGGGGGTGGAGTAGAGGCGAAGTGTAGGTGTGGCAGTAGGAGTAGTGGAGTGAGAGGAGTTGGAGAGGCACGCGGAGTGGGAAGAGTGGCGGCACAGGTGCCAGGAAGGGGAGGTTGTGGAGGCCCAGGAGGAGGATGAGGAGGAAGAGGGGCAGGGCGAGCGGGAGAAGGGAGCAGTAGCCCGAGTCGCCTGGATGCAGACACGCTCCTTTGATTTTCTGGGTGCATCTGTTCACAGGCTCCGTCTTGAAAGGACTGCAATTGCCTGCACTGCCTACTTCTATTCGGTGCTCTTGTGAAGTTGAAATCGTAGAGTCAGCGCTTGCTTTCAAAGGCAATTCCCATGGCCTTGAAGGAGGTGATCATCTTTTCCCGCTCACTTCTCATTAAATCTTTGCCACTCCCTTGGCCTGCAACATCGTGCCAGACGCCATCTTTTGAGATCCGCATCCGAGCGCTTCCCGTAGCTGTGATGGAAGCTCCACGCGACTCAGCGTACCGGATGAAGTCCTTAGGCTTGCGCAACTTTCCCAGTCGCCTGTCGAGAGTCTGACCAGAAGCCTCCGCCTCCTTCTCCTTCAGCTTGGCCAGCTCTGTCACATCTATATCTTGGCCCTTCACACCTGCAGCTCCTCTGGAGTAAGGCCGCGCCACAGTTTGCGTGACGTGCTGACGCTTGCCTGGGTGTAAGGGTGGCCCCAAGCCAGCTTTGACAAGGGAGAGTTGCCAGGCTCTCGGCCCGAATATACAAGCGAAGCAGAGTGCGAATAACGCACCTCTACGACGGTGCATCGTCAGTTCCGAGAGCACTTGGCGGAGAATAGGGGAATTGAAAAGCAAGGGCAGAGCTTCGATAGCTAAAGCCACGGACGAAAAGCATGCCCAATGCAATTACCTGGGAAACGCAATAGCACGCAGCCGCCTAGCCGGATAACCCGCCTTTGCCGGGTATGCTTCGTTGTACTTGCCCAGGTAGTAGTAAGCCTGGTGGCTGGTCGAGGTTCGCATATGTGCAAACTACGTGAGGGTCCATACATAGTGTACCCATGTTGCTGTCTAAATGAGAGAGAACAGTTGACGACGCAGGCGGTGGCGGTGGTGAAACTTGATGGCGATGGTATGGTGATCGGGACGATGACAATGACTGTGATGAGGATGAGGAGGATGACGATCACATCACGACAGCAACAATGGAAGTACTCTGCAACAAGCAGTATTGCGGTTAAACAAGTCCTCCAGCGTCTCTAGCTGCCATAGCCTGTACTCTCTCGACACCGAACGAAAAGCCAGTAATCTGCGGTTCAAACTACCGACGACGGCGCCAGGTTCCGGAGAACGAGAACCTCGAGAACAAGCATGCCCTAAACTTGCACTAAGCATATAATGCAGGGGCCTTAATAATTAGAATAGGGTTTTGGGGTATATCATACCATAATCATGCCATAATCATGATAAGGAACCCCTTGAATGGTATAGGTAGTTATTAAGGCCCCTATAGTAAGCCCTTTCCAAAGGGGAAAAGAAACTCTCCTCCTGAGGCGCCCTCCCAGTTTCTTCGCCAGGTAAGGGTTTAGGGGGGTTTAGGGGTGTACCTATAGTCTCCATTGTAGTTCTTTTTTGGGGTTACCGTTTTGGATCCGTAAAATAAATAGTTAAACCAAACAAGGAACTACAATGGAGCTTGTAGGTAGGGTTTAGGGCACAACCAAACAAACCGCCGAAACAAAAAGCACACAAACTCTGAACCGTAAGCCCCAGATCCCGAGAGCAAAGCAAATCCGCAGGCCGCTGCCTTCAGCCTCATCGGTATCCCAGCACAGATTAGGCCAAAAATTGAAGCCGGAAATTTGCAGCTCAAAGCCCCAAACACTTGCCCTAAGAACATCATCGCTGGAGCCCTAGCAGATAGATACCTACGAGCCTCTACATGCCGAAGCCGAAGCCATCGACCCCCCAAAACCTGCCCGAAGATGCCAGAACCCATGTCAACTACCACTCAACTCTGTGCTTAAGGTTCAGGGCTTAGATCTCTTTGGTTCTCTGCTTGAAGTGAACCCTAACTCTATAAACACCCCAAGTCCCAATTCTCCATGCTCCGACTGCCCGGCGAGCGACTTTGCCTTTGACGGCCTCCCACTCGGCCGGCTCGTAGATCTTCGGTGCACCTGGACACACGGGTGCTTTTGGACATTTCTGCAATATCCTGGAAAGGAACTCTCAATTTTTGCTAACCACTAGTCAAGGGTAAAGCATGCACTGGAAGTGTGTGATTAGGCGACAGAGGAAGTGAGGCTTCTGGTAGCATTTCGTCAGCTACCGTCCGCACCGACACTGCTAGAAATATGGGTGGTTGTCAAAATTCGGATCCCTTTTTGGCTCCTTATTATAGTACGGAACCCATTATTTAGGGTACCCAAAAAGGGACCATAATTTTGACAACCACCCATATGCACCGTCTTCACGACCTGAGTGCGACTACTCACACCCGGGAAGTCTGTCCTGGCTCGGCATGGGTTCTTGAGGGTTTAGGGTTTCGGGTTTAGGGCTTGGGAGGTTCTAGGTGCTGCCTTGAAAGGGAATTGCTGGGCATGATGACTGCCACGATCAACCTCGAGTGTTTGCAGCAACCTACACAGACTGTCATTGCCATTGGGACTGGCTGCAAATCGACTGTGGGATGACCAGGAGTGGAACAACACGTCAAGCAAACTTTGCAGACGCTATTCGGTACAGCATGGAAGGACAACGGCGTTCAACTGACGGTGGGAAAGTAGGATAATGACACTGAGAAGAGAACCATGGCTTCGACCAGTTGTTGTGGTCAGGAATAGGTGCTGCCATGCAGTGAACAGTGCCAGCTAGGTTTTGTAGATGTCTGGGATTTGCTATAGCAGACACCTCCACAAACATTGGCCCAAGAAAGAGCTGCCTTACATCTAGATGCAAGCTCCAGACTATGGCCAAGTTGGACCATGGGCAGCAAATTCACTCCAGCCGCATTTGGGAATGTTGTGTCGTTTGGTAAGCACCGAAATCGGGGTCCGTCTGCGAAAATCGGATCGAAATTGTGTGAACAAAGGTTGCTCTCAATGACCACTTCGGAGCATCTCGCGCCTTTCTCCTCGCCGGTCTCATCGTCGTACTCGATCTCACGCAAGAAGTCGGCAAACCACTCCTCAGCACGGTTGATGATATAAATCCTGCATTAACCATAATAAGGAATGTACCATAATTCGCATAGTTTAGGGTCCTTAAGGTAATGCAGGATTTCTATCATCAGCCCTAATTCCTATAGATCTCGTAAAGGAAGCCCTTAAAGGAAGCCCTTAAAGGTGCCCCTATAGATCCCTTTAAAGGCACCCCAGGGATTTATATCATCCACCGTAGAAGTCGGCTCATGACACTCAAACCAAAACCTTAAACCCTAAACCCCTACCCAGAGAGCCCAATACCCTTAATTAAGGAATATAGCATAAATCATAATATGAAGCCCTATATAATTTAAGCCATATTCCTGAATTAAGGGGTATTGGTCTCTCTGGGTATACCAGGACCCCCCAAGTACCCTTTAAAGGGCTCTCATATTTCTCATTAAGAGGTAATTGGGGGCTCTAATAAAGGGTAGTTGGGGCGTCTAGGAAAACCCTCAACCCTAAACCCTAAGAGAACCCTAAAACCCTGAGGACTGAACCTTAAACCCGAATGAAGCCTGCAGTTGGGGCTTCGAGGGTGCACCCAGGCAGAAAGAATCAAAACTTCGTGGCTCACTTAGGGCTTTAGGGGGTGAAGGGTTAGGGGTTTTACAGGTATGGGGGTTTAGGGCGTTAGGGCTTTATGGCTGTCGGGTTTGGAGGGGGTTGCGCCGTTTTTAAAGCTTTAGCTTGCGGTCTTCTGCGGTCCAGACTTGCAGGGTCGTTCATTCTCGGGTCTCAGCCATACGCCATGCTCAAGTACTGACATAGCACTTGTAGCCAGAATCATCGAGAATTTGACATGCCACGACCCACCACCAAGCAAGAGAGATGACCCTCATCGCACACAACCCTAAACCCTAAACCCCTAAACCCTAAATCCTAAACCCTAAACCCTAAATCCCTAAACCCTAAACCCTAACCCCTAAACCCCTAAACCCTAAATCCTAAACCCTAAACCCTAAACCCCTAAACCCCTAAACCCTAAACCCGACAACTGGGAAACCGGGCACCCCGAAACCCCTAAAACCTGATTCCCTCAACCCTGAACCTTAAGCCCTACAGCCCTAAACCTAAACCACATAAGTTATGACCCTGAACCCTAAACCCAAACCCTAAACCACATAAGTTATTACCCTAAACCCTAAACCCAAACCCTAAACCGCATAAACGCCTGAATCTAGTGCAAAGGGCAGTGTTCTTGTTGTCTGCGGCCAGCTGCTCTCCGAAGTGGACCGGCATAAACCTCAGTGTCACTGGCTTTGGGCCTTGTCCGACTGCAAAATGCTATATTACCACATAGCAGTGTGCTTTTTTTATAGTTGGAACAATATCCATACCTTAGGAATTTAGGGCTTAGAGCAAGCCTGTCGGGTTGAGACATTGGGAGTTTTGACCTACCGTAACCTCTACGCATACCTGGAGCCAAAGAACCTACCTTTTAACTAAGGGTTTAGGGCCTAGGTTTTAGTATCAGGATAACATAACAAAGGAACCCCACAAGGTAGGTTCTTTTCGGTTCGGTTCAGGTAGCCGTACCTCCACGATTGTCGCGACATCGTTGTTCATACAAGCAGCAACCCGATAAGCACACGAGATCCCACCACCAAAACCTGAATCCTATACCCCAACTGCAACCCTAATGATCACGGTTCGAAGCCATATGTTTTGAAACTTACACAACCGTAAAGCCTAAATCCTAAACCCCTAAACGTCCCAAGCCCTAAACCCGAAAGAGCAACACGAATAGGAGACCTCGTGGTCGCTCCACCGTGTTCAGGGTTTCTCCATCCGGATTGTTCAAAACCCAGGCAGCAAAAGCCCAAAGCCATACACTTGACACCGAAGGAACCAGATTCATATACAGCGGCTTGGTTTCAATAGTCACTTAACAGCTATACAGTAAACTCCAGAAAGTTGGAAACCGGATTAAGGCCAAATAGTGCTGGGATTCCCTATACATTACTCTTAAGGATTGAGGCTATGGGGTTTCCAACTTTTAGGCTTCTACTAGGATGCCCAGTACCCTAGGAATCAAAAGGACTCCCTTCTTGGTATTGGGTAACTTTATAAGGAGCCTAGGACTACAAAAAGGGAATAAGGGTACTACTGGGCATCCTAGTTTAGGATTCCAATGTTTCTGGGTTAAGGTCGTGATTTTGAAGAGATTAACTGAACGACCAAGGAGCTCGGCCAGCGTCTTCCTCACTGGTGGTTAAGGGTTAGGATTTTGTGGACTTCGGGTAATGCGGATACGAGCAAAAGAGGCTGGTGCTGGAAATGCTACCCGAGTTTAAGATTGAGGGTGGATGAATGCAGGGATCTTTCTGAACCCTGAACACTACAGTTGGACGCCTCAGACTATCGGCAGATGGCAGATGGGGGTGGTATCTCAGAGTTCACCTGAACCTCAACAACCAAACCTTTCGGGGTGCACGGCACCCCTGAGCATGAGTCATGTCAGCCGTTGCTTGCCAGCCTAAATGCCACCAGACTCCAATTGTCTGCCATGCTTTCTGGCATATAATATCCATAAGGAACCCTTAGAAGGCAGGCCAAAGGTCCTCTACGACGTTGTAGGCAGCCGGAGGTTTCACTTTGGAGCGTTTAAGGGCTTGGGGTTTAAGCTTCTCACATCTTCTGTTTATTTCAGTTTCGGGTTTAGGATTTCGAAAGGTAAGGATTTGGAACTCGGGGGTGTAGAGCTAGCATTAAAACCAACCTGGAACCCCAAAAACCTAAAACCTAAACCGTAAAACCTTAAGCCGTAAACCCTAAAACCCTGAAGCCCTTATACCCCAAATACTCTGCCCTGCGGAGGCTTTCTGTCTAGAGTCTGAGCCCGCGGGCCGCCTATAAAGCTACCACTGTTAGAAGAGGACTTCCGGGTCCCAAACCCTAAAACCTCACATAGACCTAAGGTAAAAGCCAGAAAGTTGGAATATGGTTATCCTAACCCTTCTAAGGTAAATTATAGGGTATCCTACCATGAAACCATATTCCAACTTTCTGGAGTTCCCTTTAAGAGTAACCTAGGAATAACAAGGGTGCGCGTTTTGGTTTAAAAAGGGGTTATATAGTAGAAGCCAGAAAGTTGGAACATGCCTTTAGGAGGATTAGTGCTAGAATCCCTTATACTTTACCTTAAGGGCATGAGGATAATGATGTTCCAACTTTCTGGCTTCTACTATAGGGGAACCTAAACCCTACAAAAGGGAATAAGCACCTCCTCTAGGTCCTAGACCTCAACCGTAATTAGTAACTAGCCGCCGCTAGATAGGAAACAACTTCGGGATCCTAAACCCCGAACCAGAAGTAATATTTAGGGGATGATAAGAAGAGGACTTCGGGGCGGATTCTGCTACGATTCCAATGGAGATGCTCAGCTTACGGCCATCAGGGAAAACGGAGTAATTATCGACCCAGGGCCTACATTACGTGTAAGGACCGAGCATTGACAAGAAGTACAAGTAATGATACTGCTGGAAGCTTCCCTAGATCCGCGCAGATCCGTGGTAGTACCGTGGCTCTCCACCAAATTCTTGTCAACCCTAGACCCTAAACTGGCCCTAAACCGTATCCTTTGTCTTATCGTGGCTTTCCACCAGATTCTTGCCAACCCTAAACCCTAAGCCCCATCCGATCTCTTACTGTGGCTCTCCTCGAGAATCTTGCCAACCCTAAACCCTAAACCCAATCAGTTCTCTTACCATGTCTCTCCACCAGATTCTTGTCAACTCTAAACCCTAAGCCCCATCCGTTCTCTTACCGTGGCTCTCCACCAGATTCTTGTCAACATCTCGGCACAGCTTGTCCGCAAACACACGCTGGCCTCGGGAACGCGGCGAGCAGGGGAGACTCGGGGCTTCGCGGGTTCGGGTTGAGGGTGTAGGGTGTGGGGTTTAGGGTTCAGGGGGTTTTAGGGCTTAGTGTTTAAGTTCAGGGGTTTTAGCGATTAAAGGGTGCGGGTATAGGGTTGAGGGCTGACTTGACTTCGGATTCCAGACTACGGAGTAGAGTTGACCTGTGAAGTTTGGGATCATGCGGTCATGCCTGAAGCAAGCGAAAGTCCTTTTTGCAATAACTTTAAGATTGGGAATCCCTACTGTACTTGGAGGCTCATGGAGAGTTATAAGTAGGGTTATAAGTAAGATAACTGTGGTTATAACCTATATTAGGGGACTTATAACCTCACTTATAACTGTCCATGAACCTCCAGGTACTGTACGCCCCAAACACCACCTAAGCACTCGATCGTTGCTTCTGCAGGAATATAGATATGAGAGTTTCAGCTTTTAAGGGCGCTCAGAAACTGGCTTCTTGTTACCATAAGGGTCCATGTGCCCAAATAGTATATACTTTAGGCCGAATTTTTCTATATATAGGGACTACTTCAAGGCCAATGTATATACTATTTGGGTACATGGAGCCTTAGGGTTAAAAGGCTTCATTCAAGTTACCACAGGCAACTTGTAAGGTAAGTTCCTTGACAAGAACTCAGCCAAAAAATAACTGATAGTAGGATCCTCATCTCGCAAACCCATGAATCTTAAGCCGAGAAGTTGCACAACAGGCTATGTGCACTCCGGAATGTGGGGCATGAAGACCACTATACCAGCGTGTTGACTCTGACTGTTGCTTGCTGGTGTGTTTGCTTTGAATTTAATTTGCCCCCCCCCCCTACACCCCCCAACCTGTGAAATCGCCTGAATAAGAGGAAACCTACAGCCTCCAATATCCCTTAATTAAGGAATGTACTTTAAATTATAGTAGGATCCCTATGGTGGCAGCCGCAAAGTTGGAAGATGCACACCCAAAATTCCAGCACCCCACAACTGGAATAAAACACATCTTCCAACTTTGGATTCTTCCTTTTTTGCAACCTTCCAACTTTTGATTACCACATGAACCGCTCCAAATACCGGGACCTAAAGTTGGAAGATGGGACCAAGTCAGGCCCAAAATTTAACTACAGTCTCTCTCTCTCTCTCTCTCTCCCTGCAATACTGGAGCGGCCATAGTACTTGCAGCTTCTCTTTTTCTGCAATACTGGAGCGGTCGTAGTACTTGCAATTTATCTCTCTCTCTGTCTCTCTCTGCGACACTGGAGCGGTACTAATAAATGCAAATCTTCTCTCCCTGCAATGTTGGGGCAGTCGTAGTATTTAATTTGCAGTTTTTCTCTCTGTGCAGTACTGGAGCGGTCGTAGTACCTGCAGTTTCTCTCTCTCTGCAATAATGGAGCGGTCGTAATAATTGCAGTTTCTCTCTTTCTGCAATACTGGAGCGGTCGTAGTAGTTGCAGTTTCTTTCTCTCTGCAATATTGGAGTGGTCGGAGTAATTGCCGTTCCCATCTCTCAGCAATACTGGAGCAGTCGTAGCAATTGCGGTTTCTCTCTCTGAATTACTGGAGCTGCTTCCCACAAACCGAAAGTTGAAAGATACCATTACTGCATTATCTGGTCCAAACGCCGGGACCTAAAGTTGGAAGATGGGACCAAGTCAAACCGAAAGTTGGAAGATGCCGTTGCCGCATCAACCGTTCCAATTGCCGCCTTCCAACTTTCCGGCGGCTACTGTAATGTGATTTGAGGAACAGGCCTTAAGTAAGGGATATTGGAGTCTCCAAGAAGCCAAGGTACACTCATGCTTCCAAAGCCCAACCAGGATGGTAGGGGTGGTGACGATGTTCACGGGGCACTCCATGATGCCCTGCCACTCTTGGCAAATTACGGTTGATGATATAAATCCTGCATTACCCTAACCTAAGGACCCTGAACTATGGGAATCATGGTATGTTCCTTATTCTGGGTAATGCAGGATTTATATCATCAACCGTAGGTCGCAATTAGTGTCGCAATTAGGTGGTCCAGGGCTTCAGGGGTTTCGGGTTTGACTTCTGAACCCATCATAAAGGTTAAACTTTTAGCCTCCTTATTCTAGTTAATATAGAATATAGTTAATATAGAAACCCCAAAAGTTAAGGTCCTAAGAGCCAACCAGAAGAACGCCAAGGAGAAATGTTTTGCGCAAATAAACCCTACTTGGAGGCCCAGGGGACTTAGTAAGTAGAGTTTGTAAGTACCCTAGATGGAGTTACCCCAATTAGAACCCTACTTATAACCGACTTACTACGTACCCTGGGCCTCCAAGTAACCCCCCAGTCTTAGGAAGGCAGGGTTCATACAGGGTGAAAAGATACTAGTAAGGGCTTGAGGGTTCAGGATAACCCAGAGACTCCAATATCCCTTAATTCGTAAATAGACCTTAAATTATAGTAGGATCCCTGATAAGATTTAAGGAATAGTCCTTAGTTAAGGGATATTGGAAATATACCTTAAGTTATAGTAGGATCCCTGATCTGATTTAAGGAATAGTCCTTAGTTAAGGGATAATGGAGTCTCCGGGTATTGGGAGCGACGAGGTGGCCATGAGCTTGGATGGTGTTTCAGGTCTTGGGGTTTAGAGTTTGGGGGGTTTGGGTTTAGGGGTTTAGAGTTTAGGGGTTTAGGGGTTTAGGGCTTAGGGTTTTAGGGGTTTAGGGTTTAGTGTCGGCAGTGTCGGCCAACATGTCTTATCTCAAGGCGGCTGCAGCCTGTAGCATTGAGGGCAAGACCACGAATGCCCATCAGGCGAATTATTTGCCGAAGAGTGTGACACACACACACGATGGGGTTGTTACGTTAAAGGCGTAAATGGAACTGCAGTTAGTGTGCGAGAGGCGCACGCACTGGGACGTTTTCTCAAACGCGGCTCCCACTGTGGCACGCTGCATAGTTTGCGGTCATGCCCTGCATTGCCTGTACTGCAGTACCAGCAACAGCCAGCAACGGAACCCTAAACCCTGCACCGACAAATCATGGCAAGCACATGCAAGCACAAAGACGACCATGACGAACCTGAGCACGACCACACGGAGACGCAAAACCCGGACAACTGGACAACTCGCATCGACAACTCGAGCAATAAAATTAAGATTTAGGGCTAGGGTTTGCGTATGAGGTTTCGGAAAATGGCATTCGCATGTTGAGTTTTGGGCGGTTGTAGGGCTTAGGATGAATCGGAATCTGCCAACAAGGCTCAAGCCCCAACCCCGAAGGGTCCTAACAACTTGGGGAACCTCAAAATTGAGGCCCCAAAGAGACCCAAGGACTCTCCCCAGGACATTCCGGACCCTCCTAAGGAGATACGGTTGATGATATAAATCCTGCATGACCTTAAGGACCCTAAACTATGGGAATTATGGTATATTCCTTATTATGGGTAATGCAGGATTTATATCATCAACAGTATCTCGACCCTTAGGGTAGGATGCACCGGAATCTGCAAGGCTCAAAATGGCCCAAAAGCCTTGTATAATATGGTCTTTAGGCCCAAAAGCCTCAAATTATGAGTCCTTAGATCCTTAGGGTTAGGTTATTATGGGTAATGCAGGATTTATATCATCAACAGTATCTCGACCCTTAGGGTAGGATGCACCGGAATCTGCAAGGCTCAAAATGGCCCAAAAGCCTTGTATAATATGGTCTTTAGGCCCAAAAGCCTCAAATTATGAGTCCTTAGATCCTTAGGGTTAGGTTATTATGGGTAATGCAGGATTTATATCATCAACAGTATCTCGACCCTTAGGGTAGGATGCACCGGAATCTGCAAGGCTCAAAATCGCCCAAAAGCCTTGTATAATATGGTCTTTAGGCCCAAAAGCCTCAAATTATGAGTCCTTAGATCCTTAGGGTTAGGTTATTATGGGTAATGCAGGATTTATATCATCAACAGTATCTCGACCCTTAGGGTAGGATGCACCGGAATCTGCAAGGCTCAAAATCGCCCAAAAGCCTTGTATAATATGGTCTTTAGGCCCAAAAGCCTCAAATTATGAGTCCTTAGATCCTTAGGGTTAGGTTATTATGGGTAATGCAGGATTTATATCATCAACAGTATCTCGACCCTTAGGGTAGGATGCACCGGAATCTGCAAGGCTCAAAATGGCCCAAAAGCCTTGTATAATATGGTCTTTAGGCCCAAAAGCCTCAAATTATGAGTCCTTAGATCCTTAGGGTTAGGTTATTATGGGTAATGCAGGATTTATATCATCAACAGTATCTCGACCCTTAGGGTAGGATGCACCGGAATCTGCAAGGCTCAAAATCGCCCAAAAGCCTTGTATAATATGGTCTTTAGGCCCAAAAGCCTCAAATTATGAGTCCTTAGATCCTTAGGGTTAGGTTATTATGGGTAATGCAGGATTTATATCATCAACAGTATCTCGACCCTTAGGGTAGGATGCACCGGAATCTGCAAGGCTCAAAATCGCCCAAAAGCCTTGTATAATATGGTCTTTAGGCCCAAAAGCCTCAAATTATGAGTCCTTAGATCCTTAGGGTTAGGTTATTATGGGTAATGCAGGATTTATATCATCAACAGTATCTCGACCCTTAGGGTAGGATGCACCGGAATCTGCAAGGCTCAAAATGGCCCAAAAGCCTTGTATAATATGGTCTTTAGGCCCAAAAGCCTCAAATTATGAGTCCTTAGATCCTTAGGGTTAGGGTAGGATGCATCGGAATCTGCGAGCAAGGCTCAAGCCCCAAAAATCCCGGGCCTGGAACACGCGACTCAGGTCGCGCATGTTGAAGATGTAATGGAATCCTTAGGAAGGCTCTCCTCCCCTATAAGGGGTCCATGTACCCAAATAGGGTTCCTTTCAGGCGTGCTAGTATAAGGGCTCTATATGGGTTTAAAAACCTCAGGCTCCCGTAGGGTTGTAATGTAGGAACGTGATGAAGAAACATTGGGCCTTCATTAAGGTTCCTTATATGAATCCTACTATTTTGGGGCTATAGGCCCAGGGTTGCTTGCTCAGGCTCCTAAATTAGGGGTTTAGGAAGTAGAGCTCTTACCCTTAAATCCTACCGCCCGAGATCCAGATCATTAGCAGCTACACCCTAAGCATTGTAGGGTCCGGGGTTTCGGTTCCAGCTCCCGGGCTGCAGGCAAAATTCAAGCTCTCCTCAAGATTCATGTGAGGATCTCGCGCGGGAACGGAAAAAGGGAATGTGGACCCAGGCGTTCACACTTGTGGCGTACTCTGATTAACTGACATGTCTGGAAGGACATTTCGACACGGTGACATCCCTATGTCAGAACTCAAAGCCCTGTTTCACCCACGTCAGCCCGCCGAGCCAGATATCAGAGCCAGGGCAGCTATCACGCGGTCGCGCTCCCTAGAATTCGCGCAACGGCTATCCCGAGAAGTACCTTTAAATGGGACTCCAAGGCTTCAAATTGGGTTTAGGGTTTAGGCCCTGCCCCATCACCCGCTTTTTGCGGCAAGAAGTCCTTTACAGCCTAAACCCCATGCCCTAGAACCCTGAACCCCTGATGTGAGCCACATGCTCGACCCTAAACTCATAGGGACCCTTAGGGGGGTAGGGGGGAGGGGGACATACCTCCTTAAATAGGCAAGTTCTTACTATAGGTATTAAGCCCCCTACCCCCCTCCCCCTACCTCCCTAAGGGTCCCTATGATAAACTCAAACGAACAATCTCGAAATCTCCGAAAGGACGAAACCGTTTGTCCGGACATGCTCTGCTTCCTAGACTCCCCCGACAGCCCACAATCAAGGGTCGCTCACCAAGGATCCCTACCCAATCGCTTAAGCAGTATTTAAGAGATCTTTATCAGTTGCAACATAAATTCTTTATCAATAGCAACACAATTTGTTACTATTCCTTTTCGTTTGCCGTATGTCAAAACCCGATTGTAAAACAGGCAGCCTTTTTTGCTGGACCTGTGGAGATTTCCTGGTCTGCATGGCGAGGAGCGCAACGGCGTCGGGAGAAGCTTCGACTTCACGCGATCCCAAACCTCAAGATATGGGAGTTTCCAAAAATAGGAGCACCCTAAGATAATAGCCTAAATAGTAGGATCCCCATTATAAGGACCCCGCAAATAAGGTGCCCCTAATTTTCGGAAACTCCCATATGCTAAACATGTAGTGATGGTGGCGTGGTTTACTAAGGATTACACTTCTGAGTTTGTTGATGGTTGCGCTTCTGCTGACGATATTTACGACGCCGCTGAGAATGATGTTGGCGATGCTAACGACGGTGGCGATCTGTCGTCGGTGCTACTTTGTGCGTGTGTGTGTGTGTGTGTGTGCACCTTAGGATTTGGGTTTGAAACTTCGTAGATGTACGAGGATTCAGGTTGCAGCCTCCCAAGCAGTCTCACGGGTCCAGGGGTGAGGGTCTAAAGCTTTAAAGCCCGACCCCAAGCTCAAAGCTCGAACCCGACATCTTTGACCCCGAAGCCTGGGTCTGAACTCTTGGCCCCACGGCAAAGCATAATGTAGGAACCTGATTAAGAAACCCTGGGCCTCTAACCCCAAAATAGCAGGATTCATATCAGGAATGCTATTAAAGGCCCCAGGTTTCTTAATCAGGGTCTTACATTACCCGCTGCCTTGAACCTTCCTGCGGCTTCGCCTCACATCGAACTCAACTCGTTCCTTCTGATTTGCCCTCGAAAAGAAAGTTCTCCCTTCTGCGTTGCGAAAAGACCAAAACCCTTGGGGGCGACACATCCACCGTGGCACCGGTCAGCTTCTTGCTCAAGTCCATGACATCGGGTTTCGCACCGGCCTGGGCTGCAGCGGGATGGGGCTTCAGTTTATACAAATAGAAGGCAGGTAGGATTAAGGATCCGTTGTAGAAGGACTCTTGATTCGGGATTACCCCACCTTCCTTCATCCCACCCTTGGAGCCATTTGAAACCACTGAACTCCCACACCCCCAGCGCCTTCGTGCTAAACTTGGACTTCATGATGCTGCCGAAGATGTTGTCCACGGACACTGTCGAGGGCAAGACCATGTTGAAGCACATGAACCTCAAACGGCTGCAGGAGTGGCAATCTTATCATCAGTGGTAATTAGTGGTAATTACGAAGAGGCCTTAGCAGCAGTAGTTGCAGATTCACAACTCGATAGTAGCTTGCAGAAGTAATAATGCGTGGGCAGTTAGTAAAATTTAGTATATCGTGCATCGCTCGCGCAGGAAGAGTTCATATGCGCTATGAGATTACCGCGTTCAAGCCGTGCGAGTCTGGCAATCCACTTGGCAAAGGGGTTCGAGTGATGATTGGGACGGCCCTGAGGGGACGGTAGTGCGGGACTTCTCGACACATTAACGTCTTCCAAGGCAACGTCGGGTGGACCTTCGGAAGCACTGCAGCGCAAGACGGTGCAAATGTTTTTTCTATAGAATGGGCGGCGAAAGCAGAAATCCGACCCCGAACATTGCCCTTCAACCTGCGATCGAAACTATGAGTTCCAGACTTTGAAACCTCAAACCGGAAGCGTATATGATGAATCGGATCCAGGCACTTGGACTTGTACCGGTTCGGGATGTCGTTCTTGCCGCCACCTGTCCCACAGCAACCAGGGTTCTCATTCTCACCATCAGCACCGCCGTGATCATCATCACCCTCAGAATATGGATGTCAGCATCTCAGTACTGACCACGACAGCGACGAGCCCACACCACTGCAGCACTCTCTTCCTGGCTACAAAAACCATCGTTACACCTGTCGTTGTCGGCATCCTACTCCCGAAGCAGGAGCAGGCGCGTCATTGCCGGAATCACTCTTATCATCATAGTCACGTTGATCTGAGAAACTCGTTTTTCCAAGTCCGTGTTCACAATTATCATGGACCGTCGTCACAACTGTCACAAAGAGTCGCCGCTCGCATTACGAGCTCGCAGCATCGTAGTCAGTCTCATCGTTGCTAGCAGCCTCATGACTACCATCATCTTTGCGAGCATCATCACGGGGACACAACCTCTACGATACACATGTCGACAATCTTCTGCACTATGTAGATGGAGCTAGAGCTAAACCCTAACCCGAGACCCCGCACACCCCAGGCCACCTGAACCCTGATTCCTGCACCCCACCTGAACCCTGAATCCTAACCCCCAGCCCACCTAAACCCTGACTCCTCCAGCTCGTGTAATGGCCTAAGCCCCCCTGAACCCTAGACCCTCAAAGACCAAATTGAGCCCTAAACCCTGAACCTTATAGCGAGCGTAGTTTCCAAACCCTAAACCCTAAACCTTAAATCCCTAAAAGCCCAAAATGGGAGCCTGGGTGTCCCATGGCTCCGATGTACTGCAAACCTTCGATGCTCTTGAAGTCGCCACCTGCCAGGGCACAGAGCTCTTAGGGCTTAGGGCTTCGGGTTTAGGTTTTGAAATTGCGAACCCTTAAGTCCTAAAAAGGGGTTTAGGGTTTAGGGTTTTTTGGTTCAGGGATTAGGGGTTTAGGGCTTAGGGTTTCTTTTTTGAACCCCTAAATCCTTAAGACCTAGAAGGGCTTATATACCTTAAACCCCTAAACTTTAAACCTTAGGACGTAAACTCCTAAACCTCAAGCCGACGACTTACTAAGAGCGCTTGACTCATAATGTATGAACCCTAAACCCTAAACCTTAAACCAATGACTTACTAAGGTTTGTGGATGAATGGTTTCGGCTCGGGGCTTCGTGTGGTAACAGCGACTGCAATGTCCTAGTCCAGGGAGCATAGGGTACGCTGCCCGGAGCTCAGTGCGATTGAGGCTGTCGTGATTACGACAAGAACGAGCGCAAGGCTGCGGTTCGGAGGGTCAGAATTTCGGACTTACGATGTGGGGTTCAGTGCGAAGAGGGTGTCGGGCAGCAGAGATTAGGGCTGAAGGACTTCAACCCATGGCGGCCCGGAGGGGGCTGCAGAAATCACACCAAACGTGGTCAATCATAATCGAGCTTTGCGTGGAGGTTCGTGGGTAGTTACAAGTAGAGTTCTAAGTAGTACAACCATGGTTATAACCTATACTCGGGGACCTCCCACTGATAAGTACCCACGAACCTCCAAGTAGCACCCGACGGTTCAGCAGCAACCGCACTGTTCACTCCAACATATATAACAACCCCCAAGCCCTAAACCCAAACCCCAATGCATAATCCCAAATCCTTCAAGAAAACATCATCTGTTGGTCCCAACACAGAGGATTTGGCGCCGGGTGCCAAAGCCGCTGCGTGACTTGCGATTTGAGTGGTCGGGCTACGGTTTCAGTGTGCAGGGTTTAGGGTTTCAACATTTAGCTTAGGGCTTCATGCTTTTGGGGGCGCCGGAGCTTAGGGTGCAGCATTTGAGCAAAGAGCTACGGTTAGAGTGTAGCAGAATTGGCATCCTCAACACCCAAAGCACGGAATCTTCTGGGCTTGCTATTGGGGTACGAGAGATATCTTTGCGAAGGATCCCGGGAGGTTGTAGAAATGCAGAAAGTGGGCTTCGCGTGCAGGTGCTCTGCAAGGAAAACACATTGCCCAAACAGACCATCCCGTTGTTGCATATGTGCAGTTAGGTTGAAGTATATGCAAGCTGATACATATACATACAGCACAGCACCCGTTGCACGAGTATATTTGTCTGTACTACAATGCGATCTTACACACACCAAAATATGTTCCATCATATTTCTACTCCGTGCATATAAATATAGAAAACACAAGGTGCACCTGTATGGTCCATTTTCTTCCGATCATCCGAAGAAGGGCAACCCCTCCCAGAAGCCGAGGACACGACGTTTGTCCTTGTCCAGGAAGTAGAAGCCCGACATCTCAATCAACTGACCTTGGGGTGTGGGATTCCGTGTTTAGGATTTGGGGTTTGGGGTTAAGTGATTCAGTGCTTATAGGGTTTGGGGTTCAATATTTTGAAGGTTTAGGGATTCAGTGATCTTGGGATTGAGGGACCTAGGGTTGCGTTGTTATTTAGGACTAGGATTACTTCCAATCAACTGGCTTAAAGGAGTGCCTCGCCTGAACCTGGCCATTGAAGCTCCTCGCAATGATCAAACCATCTCAAGTCTGAGCAAAGGCCTGCACGTGAAGTTCCAGGGCAGAGGAGCAGTTTGTGCGGTGTTGGCTAAGCCCCGATACCCGTTCTCACTATCCGAGTACCATTGGTGCGCTAATTTGCACAAGGAGCGGAAACCAATCCGAGCTACCCCTGTGTTCCCTTGGCCAGGTTACGTGCCAGCTCATTGGTGATCTGATCGCCCCACCTGGGACCAAAACTCGACTGAGCCTAGAAATGAGAATAGTATGACTACTGTCATGCTGGCTACTACTAGCAACTAAATGTTGTAGTTGTGACTATTACCACTGTTTTTTGTGACTGCGTTTAGTAACTGTTATCGCTGTACTACCATAAAGAGCAATGACTATTGCCACTGTTCTGTGAGTTTGCCTAAGAACTGTGGTAGATGTTCTAGTACAAATAAGCGCGACTCGCTGGGGCTGCCTCTCAGGCCCGAGACCAAGTCATCCAATGTCTCATCGCTATTTTCATTATAGTCAGTACTTCTTGATGTTTTTTATCACTATTACGTCTTATATTAAAAATAGACATTGGTAATAGTAGTATTGCTATTGGCATTATTATGTCATTCAAAAAATTAGCAAGAATACAAAGGGAATGCACTGCGACGGAGACTACCAGGTGTCGGTGCCCCAAACCCCAACCCCTAACCCCTAAACCTTAAACCCTGTACCCTGTATCCTAAACCCTAGCCCCTAGATTACCTCACAGCTGAGGCGCTTGTTCACCAAGGGCATCGCTGCATCATCGATGAACACCTGGGCTGCACGAAACGGCCGAAGAGTACTTGGAGCTTCATGGTTTCTTAAAGTGCAATGGGTTTAGGGTTTAGGGTTTGGTACTAGGGGTTCGGGGGTAGTGGGGCTATAAGGGTTGCTTTAAGGGTCCCTTGGTATAGGGTTTAGGGTCTAGTTGGAGGTTCATGGGTAGTTATAAATGGGGCTATAAGTCCCCTAATACAGGTTATAAACATAGTTATCCTACTTGTAACCCTAGTTTTAGCTACCCATGAACCTCCAAGTACAAGATGCAATCCATGGAAGAACATCTGAGTACCACACCACCACAATGCCATAAAACAGGAGCCTTAAAAATCAGAATCGAGGTTTGGGGTATGCTTCGCTTTGCTGTTCATCAAGAGAAACCTCGCGAACAGTATTACCACCTATTCAGGGCCGTATTTTATGTCATGATAGACCTGCTAGTCATATCCCAAAATACTGTGTAGATGTAAACCCCTAAACCCTACACCTCCTGTAAATGCTAACCCCCCCAAACTCCCAAACTCCTAAACCCCTTAAACCGTAAAGCCCAAACTGGACGAGCTGCTGTCATCTTCTTCCCACCCGGAGGACAGAAGGTCTTGCCCGTCTTCCTCTCAATCTCAGCCTCAATGCCTCGAGAGCGGATGAGTGTTTAGGGTTTGGGTTCATGTTTGAGGTTTTGGCATTCAGAAGCTGAGGCCAGTTTACGGGGCTTGTTGAGTGTCGGCTGCTGGGGCTTGGTCGAGCGGTTTTCGAGCTTAAAAGCTAGAGTTTAGGAGTTTTGCAGTGTACGATTCCGGGCGGTTGTGCACATAGTCTACTGTCGTTTCTGGCTTCAGGGCATGCATTTCAGGTCTTCGGGCGAGACTATGGTGATGACGGTGAACCCCTCGAGCTGCATCCGAGGTGCTCTTCTGGAAACCCAGAGGCTGCGTCGCGCTGCTCAAGTTCAGTCGCTTGGACAGCATGGTGTCCTGCGAGAACCTGCTGATGTACCTCCGGATCTTGAGTGGTAACTAGCATGTTTTCGGGGTTTGGGCTTTGAAGCCATAAACCCTAAACTCCTAAACCAGCATGTGCTTTAGAGTTTAGGACAGTCTGCTTTGTGGGAGGTGACGCGGCAAACAGTTTCGAGCCTCTGGGAAGCTGTCCTTCTGGATTTGTTCGGTTTCTTGTTTATGAACTAACATTAAGTTGGTATAACAGTGATATATGGAAGACTTTTGTACTCTGGGTAAGGAAACTAGCCCTGGCAAGAACCCACGATCGGCGGCCGGGCATCAGCTGGCCGTTGAAGCTAAAAGCCTTCACCCTGGCACCCGAAACTCTACTCTCATGAGTTTCAACCAGTGAACTCGTGAACCAGCAACAAAGAACACTATGTTTACTGTGTTTCTCTTTTGAAACGCTGCTGTCATGATCATTCTCTTTTTTGTTGTCAACATCGTTGTTCGCAACTATCATCAACACAGACGCTACTGTAAGTCAACGTCGGCATCCTGGGTACACTTGCTAGAACTCAAAATGCTACGGTTATCAAAACCTAGATCCAAAGCCACGAAACCACCAAACTCTACGCAGAAACTCGCATGCCCCCCCCCAGACCCATGAACCCGTGACCCCCAAGCCCTCCTGGCGTAGAGCCCCAACACTTAGAACCCTTCCATGAACTCCGTTGTCCCAAAACCGACTTAGTGCCCCAAGAAGGCACATAAGCAAAAATTAGGATAGGGATATCCCATATAAACCCCCTTATAAGGAAGCCCATTATGGTAGGGATATCCCTATAAAATGCTTATGCTTATGTGCTTTTTTGTCCCCTAAACTTAGTGCCGTGCATCAGCGCCGTCGATGTCTTTGCCGTACCCGGAGCACCTCTCGGGGCTTCGGGTGGAGCAAGACACGATAGCAGAAAACACAAAACCTACTTGGAGGATCATTGGACTTAGCAAGTAAGGTTATAAGTACCTTAATTGGAGTTATAAGTAGATATAAGTAGAGTTACCCTAATTATAACCCTAGTTACTACGTCCCATGATCCTTTAAGTAGACTTGGCTTGTGGGCCTACTGGGATACAAGGGAACCCCCATGAATAGGATTGATATTCATGCCGCTGATTTATGCCTTGAAACACTCTGACACCTTTGCATCGTCGAAGCGTCCAGAATTTAGGTGTGGCAGTTTAAGGTATGCCGCTGAGGCCCTATATAAACCCTTCACCTAAACCTTTCTAAACCTACAGATGCTGGCCGCAGCACCCACCATCATGCAGGACTTGAACGACGGCGGCGTGCGAGTGACCTTTCGGGAGCTGGTGGTTCAGGTACCGCAGATCACGGCCATTTGCAGAAGATTTAAGGTTTAGGGTTCAGAGTGTTGGGTTCAGCGTTTAAGGTTTAGGCTTTGAGTTCTAGGATAGATGGCTTGGGATTTGCCTGGCGCGTAGGGCTTAGGAACCCGGGAGTGTCAGAAACACAGGGCCTCGCCAACTTCCGGTTCAGGACTTAGTAAGTAAGGTTATAAATACCTTGATTGGGGTTATAAGTAGTTATAAGTAGAGTTACCCTAATTATACCCATAGTTACTAAGTACCATGATCCTTTAAGTAGGGCATGGCCCCTGGTGTAAGGGAGCACTGTGAACGTGAGGGGGTCGTCCGGATTAACCAAACCCCCTTCGATACCCCGAAGCCTGCAGGTCTGCTTGCCTAGAGGCCTTAAAGTAGTTCCTTTTTGGGGTTGATATATAGAATCCTATAATGTAATCCCAACAAGGAACTACTATGGGGCCTCTGGGTATACCCAGCATCTGCACCACATGAGGTTACTGAACAGGGTTTAGATGGGTTTACGGTTTAGAGTTTGTAAGGTGCTTCACTGCCGCTATATGAAACACGTGGATTAGAAGGGAGACTGCATCTAAACTGCTTCTAGACAGTCAGCATCGTGCGTCACACCTGGAGGCTTTCCTTGAACCACATATTTTCGGCTCATGCTCCAGTTGAATGCCTAGGTTCCGGAGTAGCCCCTTTACGATAAGGGTAGCCTTTTTCCTAATATTCGATTTTAATCAGAGAGACCTCAAGTAACAAGGGCAAAAGTGTATAACTCAAGAACCTAGACGCTGTAAGGGAACTGGAATCTTCAACACATGGAAGGCGTCTGAGGGTCAGCTCAAAGCAGGGGGTGGATGTAAGGTAGGGCTACTTCCTAGCCCAATGACATAATGAAAACTTGTCTGCTTGCTAAGCCCCATGGTCTGATCCTGCAAGTGGTGCGGCGGACGCGGCACATCGACCCGAACCCACACCCAACACGCCCACAACAAAGGGCTAGGGTTTAGAGTAAAAGAAGCCGAGGGACGTCATGCTTGGCGATGATGTCAAGGATGTACTCCGCTCGGACGGAGTCCATGGTGGGGATGAGCAAGGCCGAGAAGTTCAGGATCTGCCGTGTGGGGGGTGGAAGTGGAATCTTCCTGAGTCCGAGAGTAACGGCCTAACCCTACAGGCTTCATATAGGGGCCTTAATAAGTAGAATAGGGTTTTGGGGCCCATCAGACGAAAAGGAACCCCCAAAACGGTATTGGTAATTTCGTCCCCTATGTTATGAACCTCAAAACGATGAACTAGCAAACCCTCTCTCTGTTTCTTCGGGGGCACAAGCACTTGTGCTGGGCACTATGGAGGTCAGCTTCCACGCTCACGCTGCTGAACAACGACTGATGATCAGGATGCAGTAAGTTCTTTCACTGCAGGGCTTGGGGTTTGGGATTGGGTCTAGGGCCTGGGGTTCAGGGATTATGGTTTGCCGTGTTGCGTGTAGGGCCTGCGCGGGTGAAGTTATGACAGGAGAGAAGCCCCAGAGCCCAAAGCCTCAAACCCCGAAACCTTTGGGGGGCTTTCGGGTTAAGGGTTTCGAGTCGAGTCTGAGAGGTTCAGGGCTTAGGGTTGGGTTTAGGGTTTAGGGTTTAGGGTTTAGGGTTTAGGGTTCAGGGTTTAGGGTTTAGGGTTTAGGGTTTAGAGTTTCGAACCCTGAAGTCCCAAACTCCTGAACTCCTTTCTTTTGCCGGTTGATGGAGTTTAGGGCTTGCTCCAAATCTCAAGTCCTCCACCCGAAAGACCTGCAAATCTTGAAGCCTTTGCATCCAGCAGTGACTCCTACAGAGGCCACGAGGCCTAAAACACAGTATTGACTGCTTTACTGTTACACAACAAACCTCCAACGCCCCAGCCGTGTCAAAACTACCGATATCATAGCCTCCATCGTAGTTCTTTTCGGGGTTACCTCATAGGATCCTACATATACAAGTGCTGGTTGAACCCAACAAACGAACTAGACGTAGGTAGACAGTCGTCTGCAACACTATGTTGCCCGACTCAGTTTGACAAAGTGTTAACCCTACCTAAACCACCCACGAGTAGGTGAAATAATGACCAACACCTGGAAACGGCTAGTAGTTACTCTACGTACTTGCTACAAGCGGCTATGATTCCACGTACTTTTGGGGTCCAGGTAGAAACGATTTGAGCCTTAAAAACCATTTTCCATCGGGGCGAAAGTGTCTAAAAGAGTCTTAAGCCCCAGTCCCGAACATCCTGAACCATAAACCTAAAATCCTTAAACCCCAAAGCCTTAAAGGACAAAAAACAGGCCCGTGGACTCCTGAGCACTGAACACCCTAACCCCCGAAACCTGCAAAGCCTACACCCGAGACCTTAACCCCCTAAACCCTGAACCCTCTACAGTAGAACACAGAAAGTTGGAACACCATTATCCTCATGCCCTTAAGGTAGAGTAGAGTTGAATAGAGGGAATCCCAGCGCTTATCATCATAAACCCATGTTCCAAGTTTCTGGGGTTCGCTGTACAACCATAAACCCCGAAACCCGAGACCTAAGAACTCCTAGACAGTGGCCTTTGGTGGCTTCCACTCCTCTGGCTCCCACCTGCGAGGAGTAACCCTATGAATGTACCTTTAAGGCTGCCTCGACGGAATTTATTGGGCTCCATGACAGTCTCTACCGGTTGCACGAGGGCTTTCTGCAGAGTCCATGCAGCTGCATAGCATATTCTCGGGCATGAAAGTGGTTCCTAATATGGACACGTTCTGGTGAGAGTAGATACTGCTGGACGGACCCTTCGGTGCGAGAAAATCCTGATAGCGGTTTGTAACCCTAAATCCTAAACCACAGGGTAATAGGGGTTTCAAACTCTCCACAAAATCAAGCTGACGGAACTGTCCTCGGGTGCTGAAAGCTTAGCAACTGCGAAACTTGGCGTAATCCCCATGTGCGTCTGTTGAACCCAAGTATGATGTACACCATGTACCAGAACATTCGGAAATGCGGTCTCGAGGTTAAGGTCTCGCGTGATGATAACCATCCTTTGGAAAGAACGACACACTCCTTTCAATTGCCAAATGAGGGTCTTCTTTATTCCAAAATGCCTTGCCCGATCGGTTCCTGCAATGGTTCCTTCCATATCACGGGTCACTCCACCCCAACTGCCCTCCAAAACCCTAAAACCGACGCCTACGAAGATGAAGGGCGTAAGAGTTCAGGCCCCCAACCCTAGACCCTATACCTTAAACCCTATAAACCCTAGACCCTATAAACCCTAAAAACCCTAACCTAAACCCTAAACCCAAAAAGGGGGGTATTCTCCAACAAGGAGCTTCTTCCATGGTCGCGACTTGTCAGTCCAGTCCTGGGCCCAACAGCACTTTCCAGAGCCAGAACCCACGAACAGTCTTCGCGGAACCTTGAGGTAACCTTAAATCCAAGGGTAAAAGGAGGGACACTTAATAAGGACCCCTAGGTATATACCCTGAATTTAGCCATTATATACCCATTATATAGCCCATTATAGGGTAGGGGTCCCCATTAAGGGTCTCTCCTTTTCCCTTTGATTAAACGCCGCTTATATTCCAGGGCTGAACGGTACACAGGTTGAGGGTGGGGCTCAGGTTCGGGAATTTGGGGCCTCAATAATTTGTAGTTCCATGCCCCCAAACCAGGTGTCTACGTGTTTCGGAATTCAAAGCTGTGTCACAGCCGTCGAAAAGCCTGTCGCGCATCCTGGGATATATGAGTGTACACTTTCGAGGGGTACTTGGGCACTGCAGTAGCACACCCGGTACGCCTAGACAAGCTGGGTTTAGGAGGCCAGAAAACCAAAAAGACACTTGTCCAACAGATCTTGGGCCGTCGAGGCATAGGGGGGTGGCTTAAGGAACTGGGGCTTACAAGGCTTAAGGCTTAAAGGCAGTGTGTAGATAAACGAGAGTTTCCAAAAATTAGGGTTACCTGATTTTTGGGGGCCCGTATAATAAGGATCCTACTATTTAGGCTACTATATTGGGGTCCCCTATTTTCGGAAATTCCCAAATAGCTCGTCGACCTCCGAAGCCCGAGCTATGCCGCCCAAACTCAGGCACCCATTCGAAGATAGTCTGGCCCTCTTCGCAGGGTGGAATCGCATCCTGCGGATCTGCAGTTGCATGGCTTCCCGGATGGCTTAAGGCCCGCGAGATGCACGCGAGGTTAGGGTTAGGGGTGGGGACAGAAAGCAATGAGCAACTGTGAGTGCGACAATGAGAAAAAGTAGCAGAAGTAGCACTCAGAAGGACTGCAAGAAGATCTTTGATGGCACTGGCGACAGTGATGGATGCAGACTTTGGCGTCGCACGGCCATCGGCAATCCATCAATGGCACCATGGTCATGGCCAACATTCTCGAATGTGACCGTTTGGCCGTGGTCGTCATCATCATCACCACAATCAACCTCATCGTGATCCTCATCCTCATCATCATCATCATCATCATGCTCGTCATTGTCATCGTGTGTCAACGTCAACAACATCACCATCATCACGATCATCAAGCCCCTAGCAGCAGCAAGGTCAGCAATAGAAACATCGTCACGACCATCGTGACGTGGAAAACACTCAGGGAAGTATTCCGGTGTTTGGTCTTCGGAGCTTCCGGCTCATCGTGTGTCCCTGAGGGTGCATGTGCTCAAATAGGGTTCCTTTGAGGGGTGCCTTTCTGGAGTCTATCAGGGTTCTATACGGGCTTTGGGGTTAGAACTGAAGGGTCCATGTATCCAAACAGTATATACTTTAGACCCAGTGTACCTATATATAGCGACTACTTTAAGGCCACTGTATATACCATTTGGGCACATGGACCCTATTAGGGTGTGGCATAGCAGAACCCTAGAAACCCAAACACGCAACATTCTAGACCCAACACCCTCAACCTAAAAGCTAAAGCCGTCAACTCAACCCTAAATTCCTAGATTCCTAGATGGGTGGTTGTCAAAATTATGGTCCCTTTTTGGGTACCCTCAATATATGGTGCCGTATTATAATACGTACCCAAAAAGGGACCATAGTTTTGACAACCACCCAGATGCACACCTGGAGCCCCTCGCCCAACACCGCGAACCCACTGCATCATTAAGGCCCCCATTTTATAGAACCCTAGCATAGATCCCTTATGGAACCCTTTCAGGATCCCTTTAGGCGAACCCCCAGTCTAACTATCATTAACCCTGAACCCAACAGCCTAACCTGGAATCGTTAATCCTGAACCTCTGAACCTACACCTCTCAAGCTTATACGGCCCGTCCTTGTGCTTGGCCTCCTCCAGAATCTCGGCGAACTTCGACCATATCCTTTGTCTCTGGTACATCGGAGAGGGAAACCAAGTTACGGGACATAGGGGTTTAGGGTTTAGGGGTTTAAGGTTTGGGGTTTAAGGTTTTTATACGGTTTAATTATGGGGTGCTATCGAAAGTGTCAGTATAGGGGTATACAAGAGATGACTGGCGTTCCTTATGCTCATGGTAACGTCCCCGGTCGGAATTCGAGCCTTGCATTGCTCAGGCCGAAGCCGACGCGAGTGGACAGCAGCTTTGCTGCATTCTCGGTTGCAAACATGTGGGGAGTATCAGAACGGTTGATGATATAAATCCTGCATTACCTTAAGGACTCTACACTATGGGAATTATGCTATATTCCTTATTATGGGTCATGCAGGATTTATATCATCAACCCCAGGATACTTGAAGCTTTCTACACTTCCAGCACCTAAGAACTGCATGTATGCTGACTAATGATTAGGGTTTCGGGGTGCGGTCTGCTACGTGAATATATAAGCATGGTGGGCTCCTGTAGCTTTCGGGGTGCCGGGCTCTCGTCTACCAAATTCCACGAGAATCGTGGACGTATCGGGCTCAAGGTGTCTACATCTTGGGAAACTGCGCCCGGCAAACTCTGCTGCTTGTACGTGTTTCCTCCTCTCACCCTCGGGAAACGGAGGGCACAGAGATAGACGAGAGAGAGACAGAGAGAGAAAGAGAGAGAGAGAGAGAGAGAGAAAGAGAGAGAAAGAGAGAGAGAAAGAGAGAGAAAGAGAGAGAAAGAGAGAGAAAGAGAGAGAAAGAGAGAGAAAGAGAGAGAAAGAGAAAGAGAAAGAGAGAGAGATGTGGCTGAGCGATAAAGGCCTGGGGCGCTCTTGCGCCTCTTGTGTGATACTCATCGAAAATGAACTTGTCTCTACAGCTAAGCATCCCCTAATTGCCGCAAAACCTTGCACCGAAAGCCATGAAGCCTTAAGGCATCTAGACTTCATCTGCACTAATCCCCGCTACCACTTTTCAAGCCTGTCCGGTTTGCGAAACCTAATGGGCCCTAAACCCGACTCCCAGAGACCTTGAATCCCCAAACCCGAAAGTCAATCCCTCACCTTAAGCCCATCCCCTGAGAGCCTACAAGCCTAGACCCACGAAACCATCCTACTCGAAATCTACAGCCGACAACTCTTGGGGTCGGGGGGGCGGGGGTGTGGATTTTGAGGCATATAGGGGTTCCTTTAAAGGGATCTATGAGGGGTCTACAAGGGTTTTAAGGATTTAGGGTTTACGGCCTAGGACTTGGAGGTTAGGATTGGGTGGTTAAGGCAGGGGCTAAGCGTTGAGGGCTTAGGGCCAATCCCACAACCAGCAGCAAACTTCCGGAAAACCAACGTGAAATCATGTGAACCCATCCCGGCTGTTTGAGACCTAATCTGGGCCAAGGGGCTTCAGGAGAAGAGCAAGGGCGGTAAGAGCAAGATCCCACCAAAGCGACGGTAGAGATACACCCCGCCCTTGTGCTAAATGACTTTTCGAGTTTCTGTCACAGGATTGCGTTTAGCATGGAGCGGAAGGGACTACAGCGTAGGGCAATGCCGAAAACCGGATGAACCCAAACAACCCTTAATTCCTTAAACCCTGAACCCCCAAACCCTAAACCCCGAACCCGAAGCCCTAAACCCGAAACCCCAAATAAGCCCTGAACCCCAAACCCTAAACCCCAAAAGCCCTAAATCCCAAAACCCTAAACCCCAAAACCCTAAACCCCAAAACCCTAAACCCCAACGCCAAAACCCTAAACCCCAAAACCCTAAACCCCAAAACCCCAAAACCCCAGCCCCTGAACCCTAACCCCCTTGAACCCCCAAAAGCCCTTAGGGCCCAACCCCAAACTTCTGCTGGGTCTCACTTTTCGGGCCTCCGGCTCCAGAAGGCCTCCGAACCCCCACCTTTGTAGGGAGCTTTGGGGTTTTGGGGTCTCTGGGTTTTGGGAGTTTGGGGTTAGGGTGCAGGGTCAAGAGGTTTAGGAGTTTAGGGTTTAGAGGATTAGGGGTTCTGGGGTTTGGGGGTTATGTAGGATTTTGGGGTTCAGTGGTTTAGGGGTGCAGGGTTCAGGGCTTTAGTGTTTTTTAGATCCTCGTATGCAGGGGCTCTATATCAGGGTCTCATGTTTTCTGAAACTCCGACTTGTTGTGTCGAGGCCATCGAACCTTGGGCCTTTATTAGGGTTCCTAATAAATATGTATCCTACTAGTTTGCGAGTCTAGGCCCAGAGTTTCTTAATCAGGTTCCCCTCAACCCTAAAACCTAAACCCCAAGCCCTGATGTAGGGGCCTTGCCAATTAGAATGGGGCTTTGGGGGGGGTAAATTATACTACATTCATAATACGGAACCCCCAAAATAGTACATATAGGTAAATTGTTTAGGCACCAGATCAGTAGGCTCTTAGGCGGGAAATTTCCAACTGCGGATTGAAATGTTGGCTATCCAAAGTTTAGGGTTTAGGGTAAAGCCCCAAATCAAGTAAAATGATGGCCCAACAACTATAGAAGGCTTGGATTCTACATGCTTTCGGGGTCCTGGTCGGGAATTGGATTGAGGCTGCACCGCCTCGAAGCCAAGTTGCATGATGCACCAGGCCAGAATGCGCCGATACGTGTCCTGCGTCGCAGGATAACATTCAGCCCTCCGTGAGACAACCTCCAGATTGAAACAAGCAAACCCCAACGCCCTACACCTGAGGACCTTGCACCGGAAGACCTTCTTCGGCCTGTAACCCTAAACCCTAACCCCAAAACCCCTCAACCCCTGAACCTTCAACCCCTGAACCTACAAACCTCCCGCAAGTGGAAGTGCCTCGGCCGGGATTGCATTCTCATCCACGTAGCTTCTGAGCGACGCAGAGAGGAGATTCAGCGTCCTGGGCTTGGCGGGTTTTGGCTTAGGGCTTACTTAAAGGATCATGGGACTTAGCAACTAGGTTTATAATTAGGGTAACTCTACTAATAACTACTTACAACTCCAGTTAAGGTATTTACAACCTTACTTACTAAGTCCCATGATCCTCCAAGTAGACTCTAAACCCTAAACCCCACAGATCCCTTCAAGGAACCCCCATAGATCCCTTTAAGGAGCCCTTTTAAGGAACCCTTACTAAGTCCAATGATCCTGCAAGTAAAGTTCAGCGAGTCTCGGGCTTCGTATGTTCAGGCTTGGAAAGTTCGGGCGCGTGGAATCGGGGCGCGAAAAGTGAGATGAACCCTGAAATACTGTTGATGATACAAATCCTGCACTACCTTAACGACACTAAACTATGGGAATACTGGTATATTCCTTACTATGGGTAATGCAGGATTTTCATCATCAGCCGTAGCATGTAGGGCCTGACGTGCTGAAGAGAAGGTTTTGGGTTTTGACTTTGGTCCTACGGGGTTTCGGGCTTTCTAAGCTCGATGGTAATCTCTGGGAGTAAGGGACTCTGGGGATCTCTACTTGGAAGGGCAGGGGACTTAGTAAGTAGGTTTTAGGTTTAGGGTTTAAGGGTTTAGGGTTTAAGGGTTTAGGGTTTAAGGATCTAGGGTTTAAGGGTTTAGGGTTTCGAATTTAGGGGTTATATAAGTAGAGTTATAAGTATCCTAAATGGAGTTACCCCAATTATAGCCCTACTTATAAACGACTTACTAAGTCCCCTGCCCCTCCAAGTAGAGGGATGTACGGCTTGCGGATCTGCTGGGTTGGGGAGTGAGGGTTGCGTGATTTCAGGGTCATCGATATTCATTATTTCTTGTTTCGAAATAGAAGTCAAAATAGTACAGGGGGGTTGTCGAAATTAGGGTCCGTTTTTGGGTCCTTAATATAATACGGCACCTTATATTTAGGGTACCCAGAAAGGGACCCTAATTTTGACAACCACCCATGTATACAGGAAGACGGGTGGTTGACAAGGAGTCCCGGATCGTAGACTTGGCAGAGAGGTACATTGCCAACGGCTTGGGCTAAGTATTCGATATGGGAGTTTCCGAAAACGAGGGGTAGATCCCCAAGGGTCCAAGTATCTAATAATCATATACTCTCCAAGATTCTAGCCTACATAACTACTATCCTAAAACCGAGTACCTAATTATTGGGTCCTTTGGACCCTTGGGGTTCGAGATAGAAACCTGGAACATCACATGAACCAAGGAATGATATTACTGGGCAGTTGTCAAAATGATGGTCCCCTTTTTGGCACCCTAAACAATAGGTGCCGTATTATCATAGGGACCCAAAGAGGGACCACAATTTTGATAACCACCCTACTGTCACTACCCAGAGGCCCCTTAGTAGTTCCTTGTTGGGATTACCTGAAAGGATTCTATATATGAATCCCAAAAAGGAACTACTATGGGACCTCTGGGTACTGTCTACATGGGCTCCTAAACCAGCCCGCTTCTTCGTTGCACCAACTGCGCCTGCGGCAGATCAGCCTTCCCGCGTCTCAACCCTGGCCCTGGCCCTGCATGAGCACTATATAACCCAAAGGGTCCAAAGCACCTATATGTGGGTAGTGTCAAAGTTAGGGTCCCTTTTTGGGGTACCCAAAATATTAGATGCCGGATTATGTTAGGGACCCAAAAGGGGACCATAATTTTGACAACCTCCCATATAGTAGAATGTCGGTTTCTACGTTAGGAATACTACTTGGAGGTTCATGGATAGTTCTAAGTATGGTGATACGCAGCCTAACTATGGTTATAGCCTATATATTACTTATGACGCCACTTATAGCTACCCATGAACCTCCAAGTGATACAGAACGAAGCCTTGAACGCAAGTGCGCGAGTTGAGGACGAACCAACGGGAAACCCTAAACCGCAAATCCTAACAAAGCCTAATATGTAGGAACCTGATTAAGAAACCCTGGGCCTAGAATATAACCCCAAAATACTAGGAGAACCCTAATAGAGGCCCAAGGTTTCTGAATCAGCTTCCTACCCTAAGCCCTAAACCGTAAACTCCATGAAGTCCAAGGCTCTGGACGATGAGGATCGAGTCGTTGCATGGCATCACCTCAGCAGGCGGTCTCTGACACCGGCTGCCTGGAGGTTCATGGGTAGTTATAAGTACAGTAGAAGCCAGAAAGTTGGAATATCATTATCGTAACCCCTTTAAGGTAAATTATAGGGGATCCTACCATTAATCCATATTCCAACTTTCTGGAGTTCCCTTTAGGGTTATAAGTAGGATATCCATGGTCATAGCCTGCTTTAGAGAACTTATAACCCCACTTATAACTACCCATGAACCTCCAAGTCTCCTAAACCCTAAACCCGAGACCCTGCGCGCTAACTCTCAAACCGGTTACCATGCAGCCCCAAATGAATACCAAGAGCCTGAAACCTTGAACATGGAGGACTAGAAGGCTTACCTTTGGTTAGTAGGGAATGGAGGAATGGGTACGATTATAACTACTATTACTACCATTCGTCCATTCCCTACTAACTACTACTAACCAAAGGTAAGAAGGTTGAAGATCTGCGTCCACTAGCAGGGTCAAGGGCCGAACCTGTTTTACATGCCAGAGAGTCTAGGAGGGGCGTGCTTTGTGCGTATACGAAACGGAGCCTAGCCTACTACTACTACTACTACGACGACGACTACTATACTACTACTACTACCAGTTACTGCTAGTATGTGCATCGGAATATTTACGAGTACCACTCCTGAGGGCTCCTTCCCTCCTTCAAATACTTAAAAGAGCACACCCCCGCAAAGCTTTTCTAGTCCACCCTAACATTACACGACTAGGCTGACTTTAGGGCTTTCGGGTTTAGGGCCTTAGGATTTATGATTTGTAGAGTTTACGGCCGAGGGTCCATGGGTGGCAGCCTCAGGGTTGCGGAAGTTCGGGGTTGACGGTTTAAGGCTCACGGTTTATAGGGCCCCAAAAAAGCACATAAGCAACAATTCGCATAGGGATATCCCATATAAACCCCCTTAAAAGGAAGCCCAGTAAGGCAGGGATATCCCGGTAAAAAGCTTATGCTTATGTGCTTTTTGGGTCCCTAAGTTTAGGGTTTTAGAATTTTGTTTAGGACCCAACCTAGCCCTGCGTGCTCATGCCACCTTTTGATTGACACATCCATAGTCCACATTCATAGTCACTGCTGCAGCGGCATTATCTGTAGACGTCTATTTACCCGCACTACTACGATAACCGTTACTATCGCCGTTATGCCACCTGTCATCAATGCTAGAGCTAATTTTCCTGCTGCTATGCCTACGAACATCTCGCTGCTACTGCCTATTTTCATTTCCCCTTCGCAACTGTATTTGGCCCAGCTGCCAACCGGATATTCCTGGCACACTGCACGAGGCTCAGCGCTCAAGGAGCAACACACAGGAGGTATAACAGAGCTCGAAAAAAGCTAAGTTCGGCTAAGGGTTGTAGGGTGGTATATTAGGTATAATCTACTACAACAATGTCGTTATCATAATACAAAAGAAACGAATAATTACAGCAGTAAGAATCGGAGTTAGGAGCTCGAAAGTCGAAAGCCCTATAAGTTTAGTGGCGAAGGTTTAGGGTGTAAGCACACCCTTAAAACTATAAGCCTTAAACCTAGACAAGTGGGTGGTTGTACCCTAAATATCTAGTGCCGTACTCTATAAGGGGCCCGTAACAGGACCCTAATTTTGACAACCACCCAAGGCGTACAAGGAGTGCGCGGTTAATACTGATGTCCGAAGGCTTGGTAACCTATCCCGGTCCGTCCCATCAAAACAAAGTACTCCACCAGCCAAACACCTTGTTCTAATTGTGAAGGCCCCTGTAACAGAGCTTGTGCGGTCCTCATGCACCAATCGAAAAAGTCTTCGGCAGCCCCCGAGTTCGGTGGCTTGGCCTTCAGCCACCTGCCAGTTTGAGGGTTTAGGGGTTTGGAGGTCGGGGTTTGGAGCTTAACTGTAGCCTCCATTGTAGTTCCTTGTTTCGGTTTAACAAACTTTGTATTTAGGGTCCTGTAAGATAACCCCCCAAATAATACAATGGAGACAATAGGTAGGGCTGAAGGGTTGAGGAGCTGCAGGCTGAGAGGTTTTGGGTCTGTATGGCAAAAGATTCAAGGTGTTTCTGTCGACGTTTCGTAAGTAGAGCTCGTAGGTTGCAGCTGGGTGTGGGCAGCTGTAGTAATGTGGGAACCTGATTAAGAAACCTTGGGCCTTTATTAGGGTTCTTTCTACGAACCCTACTATATTGGGGGTTATAGGCCCAGGTTTTCTTAATCAGGTTCCTACATTATCAGCTTGGCGTTAGCTTCAGGCAACAGGCAAAAGTGATCCCCCGAAACTCTGCGGCCATCTGGAAGCTGAGTTTTACCATCGCGGTCAATTTTTTCTATTTTAGTTGACAAAGGACACCTTAGCTACGACGGATCCTTTGGTAAAATGTCCAAATCTGGCGCGGATAGCAACCTTCCCTTCACAAGTAAGCCCTAAACCCTAAACTCTAAACCCTAAACCGTCTACAATTTCCATAAACCCTAAGCCGCCAGAACCTCAACCCAAGGCTTGGAAATGAAGGGGCCCTTCCCCTAAGGGTCCATGTAGCCAAATTGCGTATACGTTGGCCTTAAAGTAGTCCCCATGTAGGTACATTGGGCCTAGAGTATATACTATTTGGGTACATGGACCCTTGGGGTCCATGCATTCCCCAAACCCACATCAGACCGAAACCTATGGTCCAAAGCCCCGGTATCGAAAGTCTTAGATCCAACCGCTGCCTGTCGAAGAGCGGCTTCAAGATCTCCACTTCAGCCTTCGCAGCTTAAACACAAGAGAACTTGGAGGATCATGCGACTTAGTAAGTAAGGTTATATGTACCCTCCTTGGGGTCATAAGTAGCTATATGTAGAGTTACCCTGATTTTAACCCTAGTTACTAAGTCCCATGATCCTTTAAGAAGGCTCAGGGTTTCAGGGCGCTGGAGTCAGGGGCTTGCGCGCTAAAGTTCTAAACCTGGAGCTGCCTATGTAACGGCGCACACCTTCTCGCGGTTTAGGGCGTGAGTCGTCTTCAGGGCCTCGGGGTGTAGCGACAATGAAATTACCTAGTTCGGGTTTCGCATGTCGTAATCATCTTGAAGAGACAGCTAGTAAGACCGGGAGATGCTTTGTGTCTTTGTTTTTGTTAAGGCCTACTGCCTACGTTTTATGAAGATCACAAACCCTGAATCTGAAAACCTAGTCTTTATGGTAGACCGCCTAAACCCCGTACTTCCTCACCCAAATCCTCAACCTCAACACTCTCGATGCTAAATTTCGGGCACCCTGGTGCCTTGAGGCCTTTAGGGTTTAGGCGGGCTCGGGGGGCTCAAGCTGCGGCTTTCTGGCTCAGTGACCCCCAGCACGGGTTTTCCTGTTCCTACAGTTCCGCTTGGATTGGATACAGTGCCACAGCCTTCTATAAATCCTCAAACGGCTACCCTAAACCTAAAACCACAAGGGGGCACGGCGGAGTGGATCACAATCGATGCCTCAGTTTCGCGACCGCAGGGGCCTGGTGAATAGAAACATTGTTGCTAATAGACGCATCTTTTTTCGAGTTGTTGATTGGACCACTGTCAGACTACGAGAAAGCCCCCGAAAAAAATCTGGAACAAGAGCCCTAAAATCTGGAACATCATAAACACAAAACTCGAGTTTAATGCTTAGGATTCTTTATTTGGGGATCTACTGGGAAACACAAAACCCGAGTCTGCTTCTTTTGGCCTCCATGATACCCCCTTAAACCCTAAACCCCTGAACCCTACACCCTAAAACCGCCTGGCGTGAGCTGTTCAACTCGGGCCGGCGGTTCATCCAAGCCTCCTTGGATTGGCTAGGGGGTGCAGGGCTTTATGTAGGGGCCTAAATAATTACCAATACTACAGGGTTCCTTATTCTAACTACGGCATAATCCCTAGTCTTATAATTAAGCCCCCCTATATTATCGGGTTTAGAGTTCAGAGTTTAGGGGTTCAGGGGGCCTAAGGTCGTGGGGTTTAGGGATCTGCGGCATCTACTTGGAGGCTCATGGATAGTTATAAGTGGGGTTATAAGTCCCATAATATAGATCATGAGTCATAACCATAGTTGTTAGCCCACTTATAACCCCACTTATAACTACCCATGAACCTCCAAGTAGCGTCCAGTTTGCAGGTTCGAGATTGAGGGATTTAAGTGCTTCTGACCAGACATCAAGAAGGCAGGAGCGGGGGGGGGAGGGTTGGGTCGGTGCGGAACTCTGCCCACGTGAAGGTAAGGGTTTAGATGTGGGAGCTAATCTAGGTTGAGATCCTTATTTCGCCGAGATTCAGGATTCAGTGGCCTAAGGTTCAAGTTTGCTCGGGTTTGGGTTTCAGGGTTTTGAGTTCAGAGTTGTAGGAGTTTGGGATTTAGGATGTTGAGCTGTCGGGTTCGGACTTTTCAAAGACCATTATAAAGGGAAGACTTTGACCTGACGTTCTAAACATTCGGGGTTTAGGGTGTAGGGTTTAGGGTTTGGGGGTGTAGTGTTATTTGGGGTCTATAGGGTGATGGGGTTTAGGGTCGCTCTCGAAACCTGCAAACCCCATACTCTGACCGCTGGGCGACGAGCCCAAGCAAGCCACGGAAGGCTGCACAGAAAACACCATTTCCACAAACGAAAACGTGAACGGTTTAGGAGGTCCGAAACCCTCATTTAAAACAGCCTACAAGCGCGACTCGAAGCCAGACAGCGCCCAGGGGCAGTGATTGGCTGCCAACCGAGGTCACTTGCTGAGACGTAGATGATGCCGGCACCTCTCGCTTAGGGTTTGAAGTCTAGGATTGCGTGTTCCTTGTGTTGGCACGGGGTCTGGGTCTGTGTCCGTGCCCACGTGTAGATGGGGACTTGATTTTACTACAGAGGCTTGCATCGGGCAAGCGGGGAAGGGTCGTAAAAAACCAGCAGCAATCGTGTGCCCTGACTTCCCTCTACGCGTTGGTGGGGCAGCACACCTTGTCACACTCTTTCTCATGCCGTGTCTGGACACTGAACTTGACGTTTCAAACCAGAGACTGTCAAACCGTAAACTGCATTACACGCGCGCTTATGGTCTGGGCTGATTTGGGGTTTAAAATTGCTTATAAACGCTGTGAGGATTTAGGATCGCCCTGCTGGGGTGTAGGGCAACCTGTTCAAGGTTTAAGCCCGTGAATGACCTGGCAAACGTTAGCGGCATGCCGTGCCACAGCCCTACACCTGCCGCGATGTATTGCGCTACACTATGCGAAATAGCCATGCTGTAAGCAACAGCTAAGTTCCGGACGTGACACTGTGGCCGGCGAGGCATTTCGCAGGTCCTGAACCTGGAATGTGCGGTTCTGGGTTCAGAGTTTAGGATTCAGAATGTCTTGCTTAATGCATGATCAATGGACGATCCCAGCTTCTCTTCCTGCGGTAGTCCTTCCTTGATCGACCACCAAGGGGTCACCGGTTCACGACGTCAAGTCTTTTCTTGAGACTTGGAAAGCATACCGCTCCGATATTCGAGGCTTCATCAAACCTTCTGACTGCACAACTGCATAACCATGGATCAGAACCTGAAGCGACAAACCTTGAAGCACGTGAAGGTCGGTGTTTCAGGGCGCCTCGAAAACGATCTTGCAGTTGTCTGTCATCGGAATTCGATCGTTGTTTGCCTGAGTTCAGCTCAACTGCGATAAGCTAAGGCTTCCCCGTGCTTCGGGAACCACTTGGAGGTTCATGGGTAGTTATAAGCCGGCTTATACGTCCCCGAATGTACCTCCAAGAAGAAAACCCGAAACATAAAGCCCTAAATCCATAGCAAAGCCGAAAGCGCTCACTTGGTGCCAGGCTCCCGAAACGTCAGTACGCAACCCTCTGCACAATCATTGCATTTCCCAAGGGTCCATGTATCCAAATAGTATATACTTTGGCCTTAAAGTACTGCCTATATAGGTACTTGGGCCCAAAGTATATACTATTTGGGTACATGGACCCTTAAGGATTTGGCGTGTAGAAGAGTAGCCTTTTTGGGTGTTGGGCCACAGTTCTACCCAAGTTGGGTGTTTAGGTAACGACTAGTTGCTGCTGCTGCTCAATCTTGGCTGGACCATTTGCATCGTCCCCTAAACCCTAAACCGTAGACAACCGCGATTTTGCTCAAGCTCCAGCACGTCAGTTCGTAAAACACTGGGAGCATCCAATCGTGCACTACAGGTGATGATATGAATCCTGCATTACCTTAAGGACCCTAACTTTTGGGAATAAGGGTATCTTCCTTACTAAGGGTATTGCAGGACTTATATCATCAACCGTAGGCGTCGATGTCAACACCCCCCAACATCATTTACAATAACTAGAGCTCTGAACTAAACAATCAGGGAATTAAAATCATCCCAAATCGACGCATAGTTCAGGCATGTGGCCAGGGTGAGAATCTTGTTGTCATCCAGGACAGTGTTGAGATTCCTCGCCACGGGATTCGTAGTCAGTCTTTTGGGAGTACGTGTTGTTCATGGGGGCTGAAGGTTTTCGACGGGTCTGCAGGTGGGATATTAAACCCCAAACCCTAGGTTAAGGTATGCATCGTTCTATTGAGGGCCAATGTTCGGGCCTGTTAAGGCGTCCCTGAAATTTCGTTGACTACTTGGAGGTTCAAGGGCGGTAGTTATAAGCTGGGTTATAAGTCCCCTAACTAATATATAATATGGTTCATAAGCGCAGTTACCCTACTTATAACTACCCATGAACCTCCAAGTAGGGGGGAGGACCTTATCCAGGGGTTCTTAGAACACACACCCTACTATCGAGTGTCATTGGCAGGGTCCCTTGGTTGCCGTCACAATTTCTCAGAGACTCCGCGTATGCACTTGCAAACACTACGAACCCTCTGTTTCTTCAAGTCCAAACAGCACCGTCGTACGAGTCGTGGGCACGTGCGACCCTAGCTTCGGCACTGAAGTTCGCTGGGAACCGCCCCCTTTCCCCGGATCTAAGGACTCGTATATTACATAAGGCTTTTGGGCCCCAAGACAATACTTTCTAAGGCTTTTGGGGCTATTTTGATCCCTAGAATTTATCTGCAAGCGAGATTTCGGCTTGGGGGGTTTCAGACTTCGGGCTCTACGCCTCTACGCTAAACCCCAAGCTTGGCCCTAAACCCTAAACCTGGAGTCTCGGGATTGCGGTCCCCCACTTCCGAATTCCAAGAGTTGGGTCCCAAAACCATGGTAGGGATGGTGTTTTCCAGGACCCCCCAATGGCCCTTTAATGGAGCCCTTATGGTTCTTAATAGTGGGTATTTGGGATATATTAGAGGGCAGTTGGGGGGTCTAGGTTGGGACCTATAATCCCATAGCGGTACTCTTACGGTTTAGGGTTTATAGTGTAAGAGCCTGCAGGGCCTGCAATCAACATACATCGCAGTTCTCCCGCATTCCCCAGTATGTCGGTAGCCTAGAACGAGCACCGCCCAGCCTTCAAATTTGCAATGTTTGGGGTTTAGCTACGTCAGCAGAGTTTTTGTAAGCAGCGCCAACAACAATGACGTGTTGCAGCACTCCCTAAGCGTGACTGTTATTCCTGGACAGGTGCATCCAGGCATCTCAATCCAGATGGCATCAACTGGTCCATCACACACGATCCAGGTAGTGTACTTCAGCGAACCTGGAATAGGGGTTTGGTGGAGGCGCGCTGGTTGCTGAGCCGTAAACCCAAGCCCAAAATTGTGGGCTTCGTGGGAACCTCAGTCCGCAACCTTGAACCTAAACCTCTCGGACCGAAATCCACAGACTCCCTAAATCCGAAAATACACAAACAAACACTGAACCCTAAAGCATCAACAGGGTGGACGCCTCCTGGCTTCTTTCTACTCTGTGCATGCCCTGAACTCTCGACCCATGGCTAGGGAAGTGGCGAACATCATAGTGAAAATCCTGTCCCCTCAGTTGTGTTTGCGGTTAAGGGTGTAGGGTTAGGTTTGGGGTTTAGAGGTTTAGGCCTTACAGCAGAAGCCTAAAAGTTGGAAACCCGATAGCCTCAATCCCTAAGAGCAAAGCATAAGGAATCGCAGAACGATTTGTCCTTAATTAGGTTTCCAATTTTTTGGAGTTTACAGTAACCTCTTAGGGTTGGGGATTTAGGATTTAGAGTTTGGGGTTTAGGGGTTTAAGCCTCAACTTCTTAGGGTTTAGGATTTAGGGTTTAGGGTTTTGGGCTTAGGGTTTAGGGTTTAAGGTTAAGGGTTTTGGGCTTAGGGTCTAGGGTGTTCTAGGGTTTAGGGTTCAGGGTGTTCTAGGGTTTAGGGTTTAGGGTGTTCTAGGGTTTAGGGTTTAGGGTGTTCCAGATCTTCATGTGCTCTGTCTCAGCCCCGAACCTACCTACAGCGTCCCATGCAGTTCCTTTGTTGGGATACCTTATAGGATGCGAAAATTATTGGTGAAACCCAAGAGGAGGAACTACATTGGAGACTATAGGAGGAAAACCCTAAATGTCTCGATCTAGTAGGTGGGCATTCGGCCGCCTCCGAACGTGGCTCGCAGTGAGGAGTGTTTGGGTGGTCGTGGTGTCGGCATGCCGCAGCATGCCTCCATGCCCAATCGCGCTCAAACCTAGTCCTGGGCGCCTAAACTCTAAACCCTAGACCTGAACCCTTAAACTCGAAACCCTAAACCCTAACCCTGACGCCTACACCCTGACCCCTAAACCCTCGACGGCCTACGGAATATCGGGGCTTTGGCAGCCGAGCGACGGTTGTTGTACCGTTGCCAGATGGAGGCAAATACGCCAGGCGTCCATTCCTCGCTGATGGGGTCTTTGTAGCCATACCTTGGAGGTTCAAGGGTAGTTACAAGTAGGGTTACAAGTAGGGTAACTATACTTCTGACCTATATTAGGGGACTTGTAACCCCACTTATAACTATGTAGGCCCAAAAAGGGTTACTATAAGGGTGCTAGAAGGGTAGGGTTAAGGGTCCATGTACCGAAATAATACATACTTTGGGCCCAAGGTACCTTTTAGGGAGTACATTAAGGCCAAAGGAAAAAACTGTTTGGGTACGCGGACCTTGAAAACCTAAACCCTATGGAGCCTTCTAGAACCCTTCAATCAAGGCACCCCTTAATTAAACCCTAAACCCTTAACCCTAAATCCTCAAGCCTAGGGGGTTTACGGTGGAGGGCCCGGCTCAAGACGCCCGTAACGCCTGAACTAGTGCGACCTGTCGGATACTTGCAGGTTCATGGGTAGTTATAAGTAGGGTGATACGTAGGATAACTCCTATGGTTATAACCTATGTTTTGGGACTTGTCACCCCGCTTATAACCATGCACCTCCCAGTAGCACCAGAAGTGCCCATAAACACTCCTATTATGGAATCAGGGTCCCAAAACCATAGTAGGGATGGCCTTTTTGGATTTAATTCCGTAGTGGTAGTGTATATGGATCCTCTAGGGTATGATTATAAACCGTAAGTGCTGTGGTTGCTGCGACTGCTGACTACGAGTGTGACGATGAAGGTTACTTTGTATCGACCGTCTTATAAAAGTGCTGAACATGTCCTAATAGTTCGCCCGTGTGCACTATCCCTTGTTTTTATATCGCATCGCAATCCTGTCGTACCTTTGCTTCGACCCTTCACGAGCTTGGAAATCCTGGAAATCTGCCAAGGCAATACCAGCATTACAGTATAGATCAAGACCGAGGTGAAAACATGTCCCTACATGCCCTCGTCCGAGAATGACATTGAATATAAAGCCAATGCGCCCGACTGGCCTGTGGATTATGGGAGTCTCAACCGAAGCTTAACTCAAGGCATTTCCTCATGTGTGAATGTGGTGCCGCAATACACGGACGCTGAAGCTGTGGCAAGGAGTTTGAATTTGTTTTGTTATGATTACAACAAAAGAACCTGTTGGACTAGTATTGGTAGCTGGTAGCTAGGTTCCTGAGTAACCCCTTTATAATAAGGGTCCCGTTTTTCCTAATGTTCATGTTTAATAGGGGGACCCTACAGCAAGAAGGGCAAGAGGGTACGTACTACGCAGGAACCTACTTGGAGGTTCATGGGTAGTTATAAGTAGGGTTATAAGTAGGATAGCTATGCTTAGAACCTATATTAGGGTACTTATAACCCCACTTATAACTACCCATGAACCTCCAAGTAGACCGTAAACCCCATACCCTTACAGAGTCCCTATAGATCCCTTGAAAGGGACCCTTGAAGGAACCTAGAGAGTGCGTCTGGTGGAGAGGCCGGTCTCCCCCAAAGCAGCAAAGCTGCATCTGGCTGTCCGTAATCGCCTTGGGGTTCATGACGACCTGCTTGTGGGCCAGACCGTCCTGATCGGGAGGCCAAAAGGGGGGTTGAAGATTCTTGGGGTAGGGAGTCCTTAATATGAGCCCTAGTATGGGAATCCTAGTCCCTACTAAACCCCCATAGATCCCCATAGGCTAAAACCCCTTTTGGCCTCCTATGACATCCTGATCGGGAAGTCACGGTTTTGGGGTGCCAGGGTTTTAGGGTCTAGGGTATGCGGTTTAGGGTTTAGGGCTTAGGGTGTAGGGTTTAGGATTTCGACATTCACAAGCTCTGCAAGGAATTCCATCGGGTAGAACATCGTCCTAAACAGATAGGTCATGACCTAAGCAGCCTGAAGCCCTCAACACCCTGAGCCCGAAACCCCAAACAGACACATAAAATATCCAAACATTCCTGGCGCCACTTAGGTTGAGGATAAACCCTAAACCCTAAACCCTAGATTCTCGGGATTTCGGGCTCTGTCTCGGGTATTCCTCAGGATTAGGTGCTCTCGCAACTCGCATGAGCTTTGGGCCTCTGTTATGTCTCATCCGTTTAAGGAACAGTATTGAAAATTTTCAGTTTTCTACACTTACCCGATAAGATGCCCTAGAGTGATTTGGGGCCTCCGGGATAGGCCCTTGACAAGTCTAGTTATGTTTGGGAGCCGTGTGGAACAATCTTTGCAACTGTCCAGCTTTCTAGCATTCTTGCGTTGTGGTTCGGCGGTCTTGCCGTCTTGTTCACCACGACCCAACATTCTCAAGAACAGACCCAGAAACCTAAACCCTGCCCCCAGAACCCTAAACCCAGAATCTCTACCCTTTTTGGGGGGTACCTGCTTTTCCTATCACACATCCTAACTGAATCCTAACCATAAAACTAGCTAGATACCCCCCCAAAACGGGGTATGGTATGACCCTCAAGGTGGAGTCAGTTTAGGAGTTGACAGACCAGAGCCCCTCAAACCGTAAAGCTCCTCGCTGCCAAGGTGCGTTGTGCAGACACGTGGTCAGGATTTCACGAATCTCCGTCTTGCCACCTTACAGATCGCATCTTTCCAGCGCGAGCACGGAAGATCCCCAACACTCCTTGAAACTGTGTTGATAGTTGAATCGTGGCCTTCACCCAGAGTCTCCAGAGTAGTTCCTTTTGGGGAATACCTTATAATAGGATTCTGAATATAAACCCAAAAAGGAAATACTATGGAGCCTTAGGGTAAACATGCCGCACTCAGAAACATGCACAGTTGTTGGGTTGCATGAGCCGACAGCCAGAGCTCTCCCAGTCTCCGAGTCTTCTTCCATGAAGGGTACTTCGAGGTTCATGGGTAGTTGCAAGAAGGGTTTAAGTAGGGTAGTTGTACTTATAACCTACATCCACTTGTAACTACCCATGAACCTCCAAGTAACAATGATAGGCAGCAGATGCACTCCACATGAGAGTCCACAACAGCGGGGATTGTTCACCATTGTCTCCTATTCCCACGACGCCTCCTCGTGGCGGGACTATGCACCAAGCTCGACTGGTTCAACCCTCCCATTCCTCAGAGCGAATGACTAATTTGGCTCTGCACTCACGGAAGACGCTCGATCCAGCATCTCTCCAGGCGAAAGGGATCATCAAGGGAACAGAGGACTTGCTGAATATTAGCAGAAAACAACCGTTCGACAAGACTGCCAGTCGCACGTCATGATCTCGAGAACCTCGGAGTATATTAAAGTTGTTCGAGCTATCACCAGCAAGAGCTGTCAAGGAAAAAAGTCGTTGTCGTCACAGGTGCTTACGGTTTTCCAAGACAAGAACCAACCAGACAGGTCTATCCATGAACTCGACGAACTCGACCAAGTATGCCATGCAACTACACACAGGCCTCGGAGTTTAATTAAAACGTTTTGATGCCACCACCAGCCAAAGCTGTCAAGTTCAAAAAGATCTCGTCACAGGCACACAAACGCACCAAAGCAAGCTGTACCGCCAGATGTGCCACAACGTGAACACAAGGCTTCCGCAACTCCTCTCAGAGCGTATAGTTAAAGTTGCTTTGGCCCTCATGCAGCTGCAGCTGGCAGGGCAAAATGTATCATCACAGCAGGAGATGTCCACCAATGTCTCCGATTCGCACCTGCTACACGACACCTCAGCGTGGCGGGACTATGCACCAAGCTCGACTGGTTCAACCCTCCCATTCCTCAGAGCGAATGACTAATTTGGCTCTGCATTCACGGAAGACGCTCGATCCAGCATCTCTCCAGGCGAAAGGGATCATCAAGGGAACAGAGGACTTGCTGAATATTGGCAGAAAACAACCGTTCGACAAGACGGCCAGTCGCACGTCATGATCTCGAGGACCTCGGAGTATATTAAAGTTGTTCGAGCTATCACCAGCAAGAGCTGTCAAGGAGAAAGTCGTTGTCGTCACAGGTGCTTACGGTTTTCCAAGACAAGAATCAACCAGACAGGTCTATCCATGAACTCGACGAACTCGACCAAGTATGCCATGCAACGACACACAGGCCTCGGAGTTTAATTAAAACGTTTTGATGCCACCACCAGCCAAAGCTGTCAAGTTCAAAAAGATCTCGTCACAGTCACACAAACGCACCAAAGCAAGCTGTACCGCCAGATGTGCCACAACGTGAACACATGGCTTCCGCGACTCCTCTCAGAGCGTATAGTTAAAGTTGCTTTGGCCCTCATGCAGCTGTAGCTGTCAGGGCAAAATGTATCATCACAGCAGGAGTTGTCCACCGTTGTCTCCGATCCCCACCTTCTACACGACACCTCAGCGTGGCGGGACTATGCACCAAGCTCGACTGGTTCAACCCTCCCATTCCTCAGAGCGAATGACTAATTTGGCTCTGCATTCACGGAAGACGCTCGATCCAGCATCTCTCCTGGCGAAAGGGATCATCAAGGAACAGAGGACTTGCTGAATATTGGCAGAAAACAACCGTTCGACAAGACGGCCAGTCGCATGTCATGATCTCGAGAACCTCGGAGTATATTAAAGTTGTTCGAGCTATCACCAGCAAGAGCTGTCAAGGAAAAAATCGTTGTCGTCACAGGTGCTGATGGTTTTCCAAGACAAGAATCAACCAGACAGGTCTATCCATGAACTCGACGAACTCGACCAAGTATGCCATGCAACGACACACAGGCCTCGGAGTTTAATTAAAACGTTTTGATGCCACCACCAGCCAAAGCTGTCAAGTTCAAAAAGATCTCGTCACAGACGCTCAAACGCACCAAAGCAAGCTGTACCGCCAGATATGCCACAACGTGAACGCATGGCTTCCGCGACTCCTCTCAGAGCGTATAGTTAAAGTTGCTATGGCCCTCATGCAGCTGTAGCTGTCAGGGCAAAATGTATCATCACAGCAGGAATTGTCCACCGTTGTCTCCGATTCCCACTTGCTACACGACACCTCAGCGTGGCGGGACTATGCACCAAGCTCGACTGGTTCAACCCTCCCATTCCTCAGAGCGAATGACTAATTTGGCTCTGCATTCACGGAAGACGCTCGATCCAGCATCTCTCCAGGCGAAAGGGATCATCAAGGGAACAGAGGACTTGCTGAATATTGGCAGAAAACAACCGTTCGACAAGACGGCCAGTCGCACGTCATGATCTCGAGGACCTCGGAGTATATTAAAGTTGTTCGAGCTATCACCAGCAAGAGCTGTCAAGGAGAAAGTCGTTGTCGTCACAGGTGCTTACGGTTTTCCAAGACAAGAACCAACCAGACAGGTCTATCCATGAACTCGACGAACTCGACCAAGTATGCCATGCAACGACACACAGGCCTCGGAGTTTAATTAAAACGTTTTGATGCCACCACCAGCCAAAGCTGTCAAGTTCAAAAAGATCTCGTCACAGGCACACAAACGCACCAAAGCAAGCTGTACCGCCAGATGTGCCACAACGTGAACACAAGGCTTCCGCGACTCCTCTCAGAGCGTATAGTTAAAGTTGCTTTGGCCCTCATGCAGCTGCAGCTGGCAGGGCAAAATGTATCATCACAGCAGGAGTTGTCCACCAATGTCTCCGATTCCCACCTGCTACACGACACCTCAGCGTGGCGGGACTATGCACCAAGCTCGACTGGTTCAACCCTCCCATTCCTCAGAGCGAATGACTAATTTGGCTCTGCATTCACGGAAGACGCTCGATCCAGCATCTCTCCAGGCGAAAGGGATCATCAAGGGAACAGAGGACTTGCTGAATATTGGCAGAAAACAACCGTTCGACAACACGGCCAGTCGCATGTCATTATGTCGAGAACCTCGGAGTATATTAAAGTTGTTCGAGCTATCACCAGCAAGAGCTGTCAAGGAAAAAGTCGTTGTCGTCACAGTTTTCCAAGACAAGAATCAACCAGACAGGTCTATCCATGAACTCGACGAACTCGACCGAGTATGCCATGCAACGACACACAGGCCTCGGAGTTTAATTAAAACGTTTTGATGCCACCACCAGCCAAAGCTGTCAAGTTCAAAAAGATCTCGTCACAGACACACAAACGCACCAAAGCAAGCTGTACCGCCAGATGTGCCACAACGTGAACACATGGCTTCCGCGACTCCTCTCAGAGCGTATAGTTAAAGTTGCTTTGGCCCTCATGCAGCTGTAGCTGTCAGGGCAAAATGTATCATCACAGCAGGAGTTGTCCACCATTGTCTCCGATTCCCACCTGCTACACGACACCTCAGCGTGGCGGGACTATGCACCAAGCTCGACTGGTTCAACCCTCCCATTCCTCAGAGCGAATGACTAATTTGGCTCTGCATTCACGGAAGACGCTCGATCCAGCATCTCTCCAGGCGAAAGGGATCATCCAAGGGAACGGAGGACTTGCTGAATATTGGCAGAAAACAACCGTTCGACAAGACGGCCAGTCGCATGTCATGATCTCGAGAACCTCGGAGTATATTAAAGTTGTTCGAGCTATCACCAGCAAGAGCTGTCAAGGAGAAAGTCGTTGTCGTCACAGGTGCTTACGGTTTTCCAAGACAAGAACCAACCAGACAGGTCTATCCATGAACTCGACGAACTCGACCAAGTATGCCATGCAACGACACACAGGCCTCGGAGTTTAATTAAAACGTTTTGATGCCACCACCAGCCAAAGCTGTCAAGTTCAAAAAGATCTCGTCACAGGCACACAAACGCACCAAAGCAAGCTGTACCGCCAGATGTGCCGCACCGTGAACGCATGGCTTCCGCAACTCCTCTCAGAGCGTATAGTTAAAGTTGCTTTGGCCCTCATGCAGCTGTAGCTGTCAGGGCAAAATGTATCATCACAGCAGGAGTTGTCCACCAATGTCTCCGATTCCCACCTGCTACACGACACCTCAGCGTGGCGGGACTATGCACCAAGCTCGACTGGTTCAACCCTCCCATTCCTCAGAGCGAATGACTAATTTGGCTCTGCATTCACGGAAGACGCTCGATCCAGCATCTCTCCAGGCGAAAGGGATCATCAAGGGAATCGGGGAAGGGCGATTTGTCGCCCTGAAGCTTCCAAGAAGAAGCACGATGCTTTCGAGCCCCCGGTGTGGCGTTTAAGGCTGTCCTTGTGCGAGACATTGCAAACTTGGAACATGCCAAACTTCAGGCATGAATGTCACGCGTTGGGTTGGGCATGTTTCGGACAGAAGTCGAAACATATGTCCGGATCTGTGCTGCACTCTTCGGGCAAGATTTCGATGTGGCTCGCATGGAGACGGAATGCCGTCTCTTACCTGGTCACTGATTTCATCATCTTCTTTAGCTAGGTTGGCCCTTTAAAGCCTCTGAAAAGTATTCGTAAATAGGCTCCTATTAAGCCCAACAAGTGAAAATCTAAAATATCTCAAAGGCCTACCTAGTTAGCATCTTCATGAAGATGCACATCCGAAATCATGCTTCTGGGGCCCCTCGCAGAGAGTGGGGCCGACCAGCATGAAGCCGTGGCGCACAAGGGAGGTCTCATACCTCTACAGTAAAAGCCAGAAAGTTGGAATATGATTATCCTAAACCCTTTATGGTAAATTATAGGGTATCCTACCCTGAAACCATATTCCAACTTTCTGGAGTTCCCTTTAGGGCTGAAGTCTTGCGGGTTTGGTGCTTCTTGTCTTTCCGCTGGGGGTTTCTTGGGTGCAGGGCCCTAATACCCGGGGCCTTAATGATTAGAATAGGGTTTTGGGGCCCATTCTAAGATACATGTAATAAGGAACCCCCCCAAACAGTATAGGTCATTACTCAGGCCCCAATCATCGTAGTAGTCTTATATACCCCCTTTAATGGAACCCCCAAACTAGTATAAGTAATCCCACCAGTACA